ACAAACAAACAAAAGTACTTGTTAGTGTAGTTCATAGCCTTCAGAAAACTTCCCCAGGCATTTCTGTTTATAGCAAATGGCTCTCAACAGCTGGAGACAACTTCTGAGGAAAAGGTTACTTTTCTTCGGGACAAAGGAGGATGCATGTTCACTTGTGAGCTCCCAATCAGGTTGACACTCCTGGTGTCCTCAGCCCCTGCTTACTAACTGCTCACTGCATGGACAGAGAGGAGGGACATAAGCAAGGGCTGGAGAGCAGTGTATGGACAGCGGACGAGCTGACTTAGTGACTGGATCCTTCTCCTCTCACAAAGGCTGACAGGAAGTGTAACAGACAGACGGCTTGCATGTAGCTGCACATGACCATGGCTGAAAGGCAGAACTGGGTAGGAAAGGGGCTCAAGTCCTTAGGTCAATAATAAAGTGATCTGATATCTTTGTACTTAGTGCCCTCAAATCCTTAAATGATGGAAGGTTTAAATTTATCTTGAAACATTTTAACTTTTTTTGTTTGTCTGCTTTTTCCAATCTCATTCACCCATCCACCAACTCCATCAACAAACTGATTGGGGTTATTATTTACTTAAAAAAAACGACATTGTGGGCTGAGGAGCTGACCCAGTGGTTAAGACCAACTAGTTAAGAGTCCTCTTCCAGAGGACTCAGGTTCAATTCCCAGCACCCACACGGCAGCTCATAACTCTCTGTAACTCCAGTTCCAGGAGATTGGACACCCTCATACAGACATCCACGCAGCAAAAACACTTGTACACATAATATAAAAATAAATGTAAAGCAATGACGTTGTGTCTGAGGGACAGTGAAGTCAAGTCTTTTTTTTTTTTTTATTTTGATTTTCGAGACAGGGTTTCTCTGTAGCTTTTTGGTTTCTGTCCTGGAACTAGCTCTTCTAGACCAGGCTGGCCTTGAACTCACAGAGATCCGCCTGCCTCTGCCTCCCGAGTGCTGGGATTACAGGCGTGCGCCGCCACCACCTGTCTTGAAGACAAGTGTTTGGACTCCAGGACACTGCCACATTCACTCCAGATTCTCCCCAGCCTACCCTAGTCTAACAAGTCCTGCTGGCCACTTTATAGGTGTGTGCTGGTGCATGCTTGGAATTCCTGCACTCAGGAAGGTGAGGCAGGGACAGGACTTCTATGCTAGACCTAGACCAGGCTTCTGTACGCCAAACAGAAGTTTCTCTACTTCCAACTCCAAAATTTAAATCTTGAAAGAAACGTAATTATTACCAGTTTTACCAACATCTGTGAAAATTTACTTTTGTGTCTTATTATAAATACCTACATATTCAACCCATCTCAACTTTCAAAGTTTTTATATCTTCTTTAGATTTAAGAATGAGAGATGCTGCCTTGGAATACAGCAGTCCTTTGTCATTTCTATTTCCTGGGTTGCTTTCTGGCCAATCAGGACTAATACAGATGGGTTTGTTGTTGTCGTTTTCTTTCACACTTTTGGTTTTTTCAAACAGGATCCTGGCTGTTCTGGAACTCACTATGCAGATCAAGCTGATATCAAACTCACAGAGATTCTCCTGTCTCTGCCTACTAAGAGTGCTGGGATTAAAGGCGTACACCACCACCCATCGACTATTTTTCAAACTCTTCAGAAAAACATTTTTTAGGTTTATTTACTTATTTTCCCTTTAAATGTGTATGAATGTTTTGTCTGCATGCATGTATGTGCATACGCACATGCCTGTTGGGTCCCCTGGAACTAGGGTCACAGATGTTTCGGGTGTTTGGAATCAAACTTGGGTCTTCGGCAAGAGCACAAAGTGTTCTGCTGAGCCATCTCTCCAACCCTCAAACCTTTCTGAGAAAATAAATGCATTTATTTTACACGTATTCATCACTGAAACAAAAGGTTCACAAAATAACCACCTCACCTCAGGTGATTTACTTGAATATTTATGCTTGTATAATTTTCTACTTTACTTCAAAAAAACCCACTAATTATGGCTCAGCACATTGATTTCTGAAATGATGAGTACACACATGTTCCTTCCCGGAAGTATTTGTGTATTTGCTGGAAGTCTCAAATATACACAGCCCCTCGACAACCTCAAGACTTGGAAAGGTCTTAGTGTCAATTAATTCCCTAACCTACTGTGTGGCAGATTCCGTAGCATCTCTTACAGGGCGACACACCCCACAGCTTTTGCTTTCCAGGGGCGGGAGTAAAGCACAGAGACAGAACACTGCTTAGCACAAACAGGACAAGAAGTTACCTTTCATTTGGTACTTACCTTACATAGAGTCCTATGCAATAGTGCAGAAGTTAATCAAGCACCTAAACAAACATGTAACTTTTTCCTGAGGGATAATTTGGATTTAATCCTAGACACAGCTTAGTCTTTTGTAGGAGAATAGAAAGAAAAGCCAGGAGACAAGACGTCTCAAAAAGGTCTCCTTAGTGACCTCAAGGATTGTCAATGAATGAGACTATACGCACTCTTCAGTATTGGGGAAAACCAACAGGTCATACTCACAGTAAAGGCTGGAAGCCAGGAACTGCTCCACTAAGGAGGCTCAAAAGGAGCTGAGTCTGACAGAGAAGCTCCATACAATCAGACTGCCAGAGAAGATGGGAGGTCTTCAGAAGAAACAAGGACAGCACATTCAGTGACAGTGAAGAAGGGTTCACAGAGATGGGAAGAGATAAAACCTTTCTATAAATAATATGCACAGTGTACAATATGTAGCACATAATTTATGAGGTAACTAAAAATAAGATAAAAATAAGAAGCTTTTAAGAAGAGAGTTGGTGCCGGGCGGTGGTGGCGCACGCCTTTAATCCCAGCACTCGGGAGGCAGAGGCAGGAAGATCTCTGTGAGTTCGAGACCAGCCTGGTCTACAAGAGCTAGTTCCAGGACAGGAACCAAAACCACAGAGAAACCCTGTCTAGAAAAACCAAAAAAAAAAGAGATCTATGGAAAGCATAGATCTTTAAACCCTGTGGGTAACAGGTTTGTGAATGTGCAGAATAGTATTTCAAAATTATTCATGGGTAAGTGGAGCAAGGACCAGAGTTTAGACAACATGCTCCCAACCTCTGTTTTACTATAAATAAAAATGTGTACATATATATGAACTTCAGAAATTCAAACATTTTTAGCAGTTTTGGTTCCCCAAAAGGAAGAAAAGCAGAGATATACATATTGAGTGTCAGTGGCAATGAGATCCTATTCATCATTCCTTTCATCCTGTTCCTTTTTTTATTATTATTATTATTTGGTTTTTCGAGGCAGAGTTTCTCTGTGGCTTTCGAGCCTGTCCTGGAACTAGCTCTGTAGACCAGGCTGGTCTCGAATTCACAGAGATCCGCCTGCCTCTGCCTCCCAAGTGCTGGGATTAAAGGCGTGAGCCACCATCGCCGGGCTCATCCTGTTCCTTTTGTTACTGAGCGTGAGCCTGGTCTGGTGTTAAATGGTTTTTCTCATTATAAAAGCTATAGACTTTATTTAAACTAGGCTGCAGACCTGATCCATCTTCATGATTGCTACTAGATTACTATAAACCATTTTGCACAACGCAAATTTGCCTAAACAAAAACAACCTGTATGGTAATGAGATTTCTGAAGGTACTGTACAAGACTCTGTGAAGGCATCAACTACCTAGAAATTCTGGCTCTGCTGGATATACCTACCGTCTTTGCCCTCTGAACCTCAGCTAGAACGAAGGTCTGTCTCAGGTTAATACAAACGCGGTATGAGTCACCTTGCAATTACGGCTGACACCTGAAAGCATATTTAAAGCGTCAGAAACACTGGAAGACTCGGCCCTCGTAGCTTCCTGTCTCTCTTCCCTGTCTCAGGATGAATAGAGCTCAGGATTCTTGACAAATCATAGGATAATTTTTATTGCACTTCTAAATTGAAAAGGGCTGCCTCCAAAGGCCTCAAAATTACCACGCTGTGAGTGTTGTAAATTTTAGGGACCTAGGATGTATTGCTCGAGGCTGGTTTTTTTTTTTTTTCCTCCCAAAGGGAAGTCATCAAGGATTTCCTAAACTTCAGAGAAAACATTTGTACGCAGCAGGTCTACATGCTACCACCCATATACAAGTAACTGATGAGGGGTCCTGCGGACCGTTCAGCTCAGTTCTCTGCTGCTGTATTTCTCCAACCAGAAAGCCGCATACAGCACTGGAACAGTAAAACACCAGCCACTTGAAAATGTCAAGCCAGGATCTGCATCAATGCCTGAATCCTCCCCGGCTGAGAAGGAGCAGGAACCAGGACTAAGGCATCTGAGTGAATGCTTAAAAGAAAAACAGCACAAAAACAGTAAAACTCCCCAGCAAAGTGCCTCCATTCCTCTACACACCCTCAGTCTGTAACTTCTTGCTCCACCAGACAGGCAGTGACAGACGACTTCGCCTTCTCGGGGTGGAGCACGGTCTCCTCGGCTCGTCACCTCCCCTGTCCTTTGGTGACACGGGTACAAGTGTGGGTAGTGCTTGGCTAGGGGAAGTTCAAGTGTTTCCGCCCTAAAACGAGGCAGTGGTTAATCCCGGGTGCCGAGCCTGAAGCCAGTGTAGGGGCCTAGCACACCCTTGTGCTTGAAGTTGCAGCTGCAAAAGCAGGTCGCCGGCCGGCCACACCCTGGCCCGTGCCAGTGCGTCTGCGGTCCCCTCCAGGCCAGCTGGTCGCTCCTCTCGGGGTCACTCCGAGTGCGCGGCGGGGACACGAACTCTACCTCCCACCCCGCAGGGCCTCGGAGGTTGGCTGCGAACTCACTGCGGGCCGAGCTCGCACGCCAGGCCCGGGCAACAGGGCGGCCCTCGCACAACCGGGCCAGGTCGTGCTGGGTCACATCCACCCGGGGCCGGACCCCTGGCGGCCCTCGCCTTCACACTCACGGCCTTACCCCGGCTGCCGGACACACACGTGCTGGGTGACAGCCCCCTATAGGTTCCATACCTGCTGCCGGAAGTGAGCGAGGAGGGCAGTATAGGCATTTCCTGTGACGCCAGCGCCCGGACTCCATTAGGCAGCAGCTGGGGGAAGAATCAACACACCAGGGAGCGGAGCGGCACGGACCGAGCACCGAGGCGGCTGCTGCCTCCTTCACCGCCTTCGCCGCCGCCGCCGGGGTTCCAGCTTCGGGCCTGCGCCCCCCAGTGCCCGCGAGTCCCCGGGCCGAGCCGCGAGCGCCTCCGGAGGGGGGGGGAAGGGCCCGGTCCTCCTTCTCCCCCTCCTCCCGCCCCACCGACCCCCGCCGCGCCCCGCCGGCCTCCCACCACGGCCTCTCTCGGCGAGGAAACTCTGGCCTCCGCTTCCTCCTCCTCCGACTCGGACGCCGGCGGAGCCTCCCCGCCCCCGCGGAAGAAGCCCCGAGCCTCGGCGGCGGAGGGAGCAGGAGAGCCCGGGGCCTCGGCCGGCCGAGCAGGCCTCCCCCCCCCGCCCTCGCCCTCGCCGGCCGCCGCCTCCTCCTCCGTGGTGGTGGTGGTGGGACTGCCTCCGGCCGCCCCCGCCGCCCCTCAGCGGAGCAGCGGCCACAGCCTGGTCAGCGGCGGCAGCATGCAGGCCAACGGGGCGGGAGGAGGCGGCGGCGGGGGCGGCGGGGGCCAGGGCCAGACCCCGGAGCTCGCCTGCCTGTCGGCACAGAACGGGGAGTCGTCCCCCTCGGCGGCGTCCGCGGGGGACCTGGCCCACGCCAACGGGCTCCTGCCTGCCGCCCCCTCCGCCGCTGGCAACAATAGCAACAGCCTGAGTGTCAATAACGGGGTTCCCGGCGGGGCCGCCGCGGCCTCCGCCACCGCCGCCGCCCTGGCCACCCCCGAGCTGGGCAGCAGCCTCAAGAAGAAGAAGCGGCTCTCGCAGTCGGATGAGGATGTCATTAGACTCATAGGACAGCACCTCAATGGCTTAGGGCTCAAGTAAGTGTCCGTCCGACAACCAGTGAGGGCCAGGCCGGGGCCGAGCCGCCGGGAGGGTTGTGGGGGGCCCGGGGGCCCAGTGCGCAGGAGGCCGCGGACAGACAGCCCCGGCAGGAACGGAAGGGAGGTCGAGGGAAACGAATCGGCTTGGTGTCGTGAGACCAGCCGGACCGTCTGGGCTGGGGAAGGGTGGTGGAAGCCCAGAGCGACCCCTCCCCTCGCACCTCCAGAGCTAGGTCGTCGGTCCGAGGAGGCGGACACCGAGGGTGTTTATCTGGGGGAGGGGTGGATCAGAGCGGTGGAAATAATGAACCTTGGAGGATTTGTTTTTCAAGTGTGTCTCAGAGGCATCTTTGTGGGACACCTCCCCACCCCCACCCATGACCGACAACAGCCCAGGCAAACTACCAATCAGGAAGGACAGTCGACTACAAGTGTTTATGGGAACTAAGGGGCTGGGGTAATTTGGAAAGAGACTGTCAAAGTAAATCTGATGGGAATAATGAAGAAAGATACGAGTTGAAGTCACGCCGAGGCTGTGTGTGTACTAAAGGCCTAGCACTAGTGAAATCCCACTTCAAAACCAAGAAGATTGCCTCTGAAAAAGTGATGTCTGGTCTGGTGAATCATTTGTTTTCAAACACAGTTTGGGTGGCCTTTAACTTTGGGTGAAGGTAGGCAGCGGGTTTAACCAAAACTCACTGTTTTGTACACACACAAAAGAAAAACTAAGGGAGTTGAAGTAGGGTTGGTGGGAGTGTCCTGGAGCTGAATGAAGGGCCAGAGCCAGAAGGAGCTGATGGGAGTAAACACACAGCAGTTTCCTAGCCCCAAAGCCAAATTTAAAATAAACTCTTAGGCTGAAGTGCTGGGATTGTTGTTGTTGGGTGTGTGTGCACATGCGTGTGCATGTATGCACGCGCGTGTACTTGGAAAATGGGAAGAACTGCTCTTACGCAGAGGGACAGAAGTATTTTAATCCTCAAGCTGAGCATTGCACTGTTGAGCTGAAAAATGAGGAGCACTAAAAAAAAAAAACCGCATAAGTAAAGCCATGAACACAAACACACGACTGCTGAATGAAGGTTCTTAGATGCCAAAATATCTGGTAAATGAAACCTCGTTTGATGAGTAAGCTCCCAAAGAAAAATCTAGAAAGATTTCACTTTATTCCCTAAAGGAAAAGGGTAAGCGTGAAAATAAATCTCGTGAATGCTAACAACATATTACTGAGAGAAGCAGCAAGCTGACAGCAGCAGGCGGAAATAACCCGTGACTGTTTGGAATCTACACCATAGTAAATTGGCTATTTTTAGTGTGGAGAGAAAGGAAATGGTTTCTGATGCTAGATTTGTTTTAATTTTAAAGATTGACCTAGCAGAATTTCCATACAAGCAAAATATCTGGAAGGAAAGCTCTACCTAACACAGGCCATCTGTCACCTTGCATTTTATCCTCTGAAATGCAGTGCCATAGAGAGTTTCTGGACCCTACTTTTTTTTTGACCAGTTGGTTAGAGAGCATTTTTAGAAATTGTGTACTCCTGTAAACTTCTGAAACATTAGATGTCTGTCAGAAGTAGGAAGAACTTCATTATGGTTTCAAGAAAGGTTTTCAACTTTAAATGTAGGTGGCATTTGAAATCATTTACTTAACCAAGTGTTTCAAAGCTTTTTTTTTCTTCTTCATGAAGTTGTAGATACTAGTTTATTAGGAAGCATGGATCCCTAAAGTTGGTCAGGTCTTTTTTACACTGTATCTCTCCTGCAGCCAGACTGTTGATCTCCTCATGCAAGAGTCAGGATGTCGTTTAGAACATCCTTCTGCTACCAAATTCCGAAATCATGTCATGGAAGGAGACTGGGATAAGGTAACGTAGGGCACATAGAGCTGTGTGACTGCTGCTAAAATTAAGCGTTTGGTGGAAATGTTGTGACAGCTTTGTTTTTCTTTTATGCCAATTTTTGCAGGCAGAAAATGACCTGAATGAACTAAAGCCTTTAGTGCATTCTCCTCATGCGATTGTGGTAAGAGGCGCACTTGAAATCTCTCAAACCTTGTTGGGAATAATTGTGGTAAATACACTTTTGTTCTTAGTTTCACATTTATGCTTATTTTAGGTTATTGATAACTATAGGCATCTGATCTTAAGAGGCTTGAAAGTAAATTTTATATAATTTATAAATAAGGATGAGTTGTTTATGGTTGTAAGCTATGAACTTTAAATGTTTTATATCCTACTTAGTAAATGTGTCGTTTAAAACTGTAATTTAAGCTCTAAAAACTTAAACATCTTCCTGCTTTTAGTGCTGTTAATAGGAGCCTTATATTGTTAGGATCAAGGATAAATTATACTTTTATATTACTCAAAATACTGAATATGCTTGAAGAGAAAATATGTTTGGGTATGTGTATACCATATAGCCTGAAGAAGCTGGTACATTATTTTTTTGAACATTGGAAATACATAGTTAAGCCAAATTATTACTGTTGTTGTGCTCCCCATTTTCTTTCTTTCGAGTTATGTGAATTGACAAGCGTCAGAGTCTGCATAATATGTGTCACTTTGAGGAGTTTAGGTGCAAGTTTGGCCATTGGGCCCTGCTGGCCGCCCTTATTTCCTTGTCAAAATCAGTTTAGTAGTTTACCCTGTTAACCTTCGTTAGCCTTTATGGGTTTGGTTTGGTTTCTCATGCTGATGGGTTTTAATTCTTTAGGAAGGGAATACATCGGGTTTTTTTGTTTGTTTGTTTGTTTTTTAAGCACTACTGATTGGAAAGCATGAAGAATCAGCTGCTGGCTTATAAACTAGCTGATTCATTTATTGTCAAAAGCAGTTTCCTGTCTGCTGGGGGAAGGGAGAGAAGGAGAATAGGAAGTAGGATAGAGGTAGTAGTTTGTTAACTATTAGTAAGTGACCATTAGTATTTTGGTTCTTTTTTTTTTTTAATTGGGTCAAACATTAACTTTTTTTTACCTTTGTCTATAAGCTGAATAGAGCTGGTTTTTTTTTTAATCTTTAAAAATAATCTTATTACAAAATAGTTTCAAATTCTTTATATAATTCTGTACAATAATATAATCTTAGAAAGTGGACTTCAGGAAAAGTAAAGGTCTAAAGAAGTACAACAAAGGCGTAGTTAAATTCATGGTTCTGTTCTTTCAATCAATACCCAAAGTATTAAAAAATTTAAATGAGTATAAAGTCAAATGATTTAACTTACGAAATAAACAATTCCATAGGATAATTTAAAAATAAAAATAAAGTTAGCATCCATATTTGAAGGAATTCAATTATTTCCAGGAAATAGAGTATTCTCAATTGGTATGTCTGGGGTTTAAAACTTGAGTATATTTTAACTGAGCAGTTTTTCACAAATTTTTGGCTCAGTCTGGATGAGCAAAAACAAAGAAAATAAAATGGCCAAAATAAGAATTGAGGTTTATTGGTGGTTATAAAGAAATTTTAAGTTTATCCAAATTGTATCTGTACTCTAATAGTAAAATTTCAATGATTCACTTCCTTTAAAAATTTATTGGTAGTAATTTGAGACTTGGATTTAGATTATGATTCATTAGAAACTTCAATAGAAGCAACAAGTATTTTGGAAAAAGGTAGTTATAGATAATAAGGAGGAATCCTTTCTTTTTACAGCCTGTTCAGTCTGTAGAACATTCTAGGATCTAATAAAAGATGAAGATTAAATCTGGCTGAGCCTCACACCATCAAACTGTTTAGGTATTTATACAAAGAAAGGGGGCCCACTTTTGTCTCCCATAAGCACTGATGAATCAATTGCTTTAAAAGATTCAGTTCAACATTTTTTGAAGCCATTCTTCACCTTTCTAATATCATTTATTCCTTCCTGATTTCATTGCTAGAAGATCATCATAAAAGTTGAAATTTGTAATATCTTGGATACCAACCTTGTGGGTTTTTAACATAATTACTTATTTACTCAGACCCTTGATGACAGTACAATCTCAAAGTGCACACGATTGCTATTCCCAGTGGTGGGGACTAAGGCCAGAGCCTGGCTGGGTTAGCTAGTGCCCTGCCACTGAGCAGCATCCCTGCCCTGAAGACAGTCTGAACGCTTTTATTGATGTAGTTTACATCCCTCACTCCCCCCCCCCCACACTTTAAAATGGTTTCTAGTCAAATGATACTCAGAATAGCAGATGTTGTGAGGTTTTTGGATGCTAAACTCATGAATCAACATTTTTCAGTTTGAGTTGATAATGCCATGCCTGAGAATCTGGATAGACATTTGAGACCAACAACAGAAAAATTGCAAGAACGAGACTTTGTAAACATATTGCAATTTGTTTTTTTTAATGTAATAGAAATAATTTTATCAAAAAGGGCAAATATGGACTTGACAAAAATTAACTCATAAAGTCAAATAAGAGCTCTGAGATCTTTACCGTAAATATAATTTATATTTCTCCTTTCCTTGGAATCAGGATTTAATAGCAAAATTTGCTTATAACATTATTTTAGTATTAAAGCCATTGCAAAATTAGGAGATTGCCTTCAATAACTAGGCTCTATGAATACTATTATTTCAAAGTTTTTCTTCAGTGTTGAAATTCAGTCTGACAATGTGGGAAAAGAACAGTGATTCAGATACTGGGTAAGGTGTGGGGAGGGGTCCAAGAAGAGATTTCAGCTTCAGGTTTTTATTAGATTTTAAAAGAAAGAAAATATTGCTAGGACCGAAGTCATTGAAATAGTCTGATAGAGGTCTAACTGGAAACCCTCTTCTCGCCCTCTGGCTTCTTTCAGAAGTTTCTGATCTTTAAAAGAGAGAAAAGAAGAAGACCCCTGTCTAAACAAGCCTCAGTATTGCCTGATTTTTAACTTTCTCAGGAATGGACATCATTTATGCACTAAAAGATCTTTACTTTCTTGAGATTATATTAATTTTTTTTAAATTATTTATTTATTATGTATACAATATTCTTCCTGCAAGCCAGAAGAGGGCACCAGACCTCATTACAGATGGTTGTGAGCCACCATGTGGTTGCTGGGAATTGAACTCAGGACCCTTGGAAGAGCAGGCAATGCTCTTAACCACTGAGCCATCTCTCCAGCCCCGAGATTATATTAATTTTGAGCTTTAAATTTAGGAAGGTAAAATATATTTTTATTGTTACCGTGTGTCAGATACTTGAGCTGAGCTTTAGATGGATAAACCTTTGTTGTCAACTCTCCAGCTTAAACTGTCCAGCAGCATGTTAGCTGCAGTGCTCTAGGCCAAGCTTTCACACCCATTGAGGGTGTTCATTGTCTTAGTTGAGATAAAATGACACAGAAAAATATTCTTGTGTTGCTTTTATAGCATTCCCTGTATATACAGGAATATGAGTTTGTATTGTCTTTGCTCAAAGGTTTAGTCTGCCTTCTTTTTTTCTCCTGCCCCATCTTTGCCCATAGAACACAGTAATAATGTTCTGCCAGGGTCTTGGTGAGAAAGTAAGAGAGAAATAGCATTGGGCACTGCCACTCTGTACATTGGATCGAGGGAGGGAGAGGTTAGCAATGTCCCTTTACACACTAGGTTGAAGGAGAGGCAGGGTATGGGGCCTTATGATGAATAGTAAATGAACAAGACTTGCCTGGAATTAAAGGAAAAAATATTTCCCAAATTCCCAATTGCTGAGAAACTTTAGTGAGGAAATGAAATCCATACTGACTGGTTGCATGTGACATTGTTTAAGTTTGACTTAGAAATACAATAAATTAATGAACCCAACAGAGTTGATAACATAGAAGATTCATTTTGTAAAATTAAACAGTTTTTTTGAGAAGATGGTGACAATAGCATAATAACTTCACATATAAGGCCCAATTCCTCCCATTTTTTAAGACTTAAATTTAACTTTGGGACTTTCGTCACTTGAAAGTGTTTTTACTTGGCTTATAAAAAATAAACTTAAGTATACCTATACAAAGTACTTTTCAAAGTGTCTTGTTGATTAGTCTGTTTCTGAAACCAACTAGCCTAGCCTTATGTGTAAAATTGGTGAGTGCAGTTTTCCTAGTTACAGGAGTATGTCTCAGTTTCTAAAGTTTGTTGTTGGGTTTTTTTGCTTTTGTTTTTGTCTTACTTAAAGCTTTAAGATTAGATTATTAAACAGAAGTGTAACAGGTCTTACAACAGATACATTTAAATAGTTGTCCTGCTCTATATAAGAGGGTTTAAATATACTGTTGTATTGAGTCACAATAAGAATAAGCCAATAGTTTATATCTTATACTACTTTTTAAAAAATTTTTAGTTTTTAATTATGTTTCTCTTACATGCGTTGGTATTCTGTCTACATGTGTGTCTATGTGAGGGTATGTGATCTCCTGGAGCTGGAGTCATAGACAGTTGTGAACTTCCACGTGGGTGCTGGGATCAGAAGGCCATCCAATCTCTCCAGCCCCAGTATAGATATTACTTAATATAAAATCAAAGCAATTCATCACACTCTTAATTCTGTTGCTACAGGATAATTTACTTTTTTTTTAATGGATATTAAATCCACATTCAATGGAGCTTCTAAATGTGATCAGCATTTTTGTCATGATCGCTGAAGCACAAGTAACAAATGTGAGCGGGTCCTCTAGTCAGTGGTCCTCAGTTAAGCTTCAAGTTTAGAAGACATCATAGATAGAGTAGTTCATAGATACTGCTTGCCTGGTGGAAAAACTGCTAGGGTTGTGATCTTCATTTTCAAGTTTAGAGTAAGATGGTAATGTAACATTAAAAATGTTAAAACCAAACATTTCTGTAGGAATAAATGGGAGTGTCTCATAACTGAAAAGTGCTTTATCCTTGTGGGCAAGTAATAATATTTATCTGTGCTTTGTTGCTAAACACATCAATGAGCAGATTATTACAAATATACAGAAATAGTAGATACTGAATCTTCTAAAGACCCTTAAATCCAACCTTCTCATGTGGGTGTCTCTTCATAACTGCAGAGAGAAGGAGCTTGTGCTCTCCCAGTTTAGTCACAGGGTCGTAGCCTGCAGTATGCATCTGCTAGAAAGCCAGTTTTACTTCAGATAAGCCAAATTTGGGTACTTTCAGACTTCTGCCTAATGACTGTAATTCTGCCTTCCAGTCACTTTAGTTTCTCTTCCACATTGTGACTTTTTGATTTGTTTTGTTTGGTGTTTTTGTTGATTTTTTTTAATTGTTTTTGTGATGCTAGAATCAAATCCAGATCTCTACATACTACACAAGTCCTATACAACTGAGCTGTATGCCTACTACATCATAGCTTCAAAATAACGTCCACAAACTGGAACTGTTTTCACCAGTGTTTTTAAAACTTGCTGCATGCTCTTACTGCCCTATTAAGATAGTCAGAAATTTTGAGAGCAAATAAGGAATTCTTGTCATAGTTTTAAATGTTGACACATAAAATTCTAAGGAAATTAGGAGCAGAATTTGTTTTTTGGTTTTTTCTTAAGTTGATAATGCCTTGGTCACTAATGATCCTAACTGGAGATTTTTCAAAGAGTTTTATTAATATGTAGACTTGAACATTCATTTAATCTACTATGACTCGTAAAACAAATTATTTTGAGTCATCTTGAAGCTTTATAAAATTATTTTCAAAAGGCATAGTAGAATGGTTTCTACTGTTCTGTTTAGGCACAAACATTTTCTGAACCTTCCATCAACCTTTTTCCCCTGACTGCTGCTTTCTGTCATGTCAGAGGATGAAGTTTTTGCTGCTGCAGCAGAAGTACCTGGAATACCTGGAGGATGGCAAGGTCCTGGAGGCGCTTCAAGTTCTACGCTGTGAACTAACGCCGCTGAAATACAATACAGAACGCATTCATGTTCTTAGTGGGTAAGGAAGTGGAGTTCTTAAGACTTCAGATTAATGAAGGGTCTGTTATTTTTATAGAAGTTAACTAATGATCAAAGTTATATTTCATTAATTAACTTTCTTACTGAGAAAGTACTGGATTTTGCTGAACTCTTAGTTCTGGATAAATTCACTTATGTATGCACAAAGCTATTTAGCTGTCTGTATTAAGTTTTAAGAGCTGGGCAGTGGTGGCACACTTTTAATCCCAGCACTCGGAGTCAGAGACAGGTGTATTTCTGAGTTTGGTCTACGGACGGAGTTCCAGGTCAGCCAGGAAACCCTGTCTCAAACAAACAAATTTAAAAAACAAAACAAAAAACGATTTGAGATACTTAATAGGTGAAAAGGAGAAGAAATCCATATAGCCAGTGAGATACTATTTCTTTTTGTTTTTTCGAGACAGGGTTTCTCTGGTTTTGGAGCCTGTCCTGGAACTAGCTCTTGTAGACCAGGCTGGTCTCGAACTCACAGAGATCCGCCTGCCTCTGCCTCCCAAGTGCTGGGATTAAAGGCGTGCGCCACCATCGCCCGGCTGAGATACTATTTCAAAATCTGCTCAAAATTAAAAAAGCAGTTAGGCGGTGATGGTGCACACTCTTATCCCAGCACTAAGGAGGCAGAGGCAGGTAGAGATCTCTGTGAGGGCAAGGCCAGCCTGGTCTACAGAGCAAGTTCTAGGACAGGCTCCAAAGCTACACAGAGAAACTCTGTCCCGAAAAACTATAAATAAACAAACAAGAAAGAAAGAAAGAAAACTTCATGGCTTTGGATCACAGCAAGCAATGAACAGCATACAAGTGTTCTGCATACAAAACTATTATTTGCTTAACTGTTAGCATGGCCTTTATCTGCTACATTTATTTATCTGTTTGTTTATATAGAAACATGGTCTTATCACATATCCCTACATAGATGACCTAAAATTCATAAGGAATGAACAATTGGGCAGTGGTGGTGCACGCCTGTAGTCCCAGCATTCAAGAGGTGGAGGCAGGTGGATCTGAGTTCAAAGCCAGCCTGATGTACAGAGTGAGTTCTAGGATAGTCAGCTACACAGAGAAACCCTGGTGGGGGGCATGGCGGGGGGGGGGGGGTGTCTACATAACTCTGCTTTACAAGTGTTGGGATTAAAGGTACATGCCACCACACAGGGTCAGAACATACGATTTAACGCATAGTTTTTTTCTTTAAAGTGATCTTGAAAGAAGAAAGAATTCCTGCTCGTGCTGTATCTTTTCCGTTCTACCATGTCACTTCGCATAAGCACATTTGTCTAAACCCATATTCCTATAAAGGGCACAGAAATAACCGTGGGTCCTCTTTTTTATTTTTATTTTATTTATTTATTTATTTATTTGCTATGCTGGGATTAAACCAAGGACTTTGTTAGTTTTGGGGCTTTTGTTTTGTGAGGCAGGGTTTTTCTGTTTAGCTTTGGAACCTGTCTTGTAACTTGCTCTGTGTACCACATTGCCCTTGAACTCACAGAGATCACTACCTCTATAGTGCTGGGATTAAAGGTGTGCACCACCTAGGATTTTTATGTGTGATGAGTAAGCATGTAAGCATCTATCACTGAGGTAAATGTCTCCAGCCCTCTTCCTTTTTATTTGTAGACAATCTCCTTAAGCTTCCCTGGCTGGTTCAGTGTAACAAGTCTTTCTCTGTCCTGCTAGCTCCCAAATAATGACACAGAGACTTATTAATTATGAAAGCTCAGCCTATAGCTTAGACTTGTTTCTAATTAACTCTTATAACTTAAATTAACCCATTTATATTCATCTAAATTCTGCCCCATGGCTTGTGACTGTTACCTTTCCTCCTGCGTATCGTGTGTTCTGCCTCTCCTCACTTCTGCTCCCTTTTTCTTCCCAGAGTCCTCTGTCCCCAGAAGTCTCACCTAACATTTTCACAGTGGAAACAAATATTCCGCAGTAGTTCAGCTTCTGGAGCAGTCTGGGTTGTGTGCCTGTGACACCACATGTCAATTTTGCAAAATTAAAAAAGTGAACAATTTTCCCACCTAGCTACTGATGTTAATTCTCCCACAATATTCCCTTTTTTTCATTATCCACCTCACCCCCCACCCCCAGGGTTTCTCTACATAATAGTCCTGGTGGTCCTGAAACTCTCTGTAGAGCATGATCCATCTGCCTCTGCCTCCCGAATGCTGTGATTAAATGTGTGCACCGCCACCACCTAGCATTTCCACTTGTTCTTGTGTTGTGCACATGGATATGTGGAGGTCAGTGGACAACTCATGAGTCCGTTCTTCCAGCCGTGGGCTCTAAGGATCAGACTCAGGCTGGCAGGCAGGCAGGCTTGTGCAGCCTTGACTCACTAGTTCCCCAAAATTATTTTAGAGACAAAATTTTGATAAACCAGTTTCTTCGGAGGCTTGTTAAGTATAAACGCTTTCCCATTAACCAAAATGCTACGTCCATACTTAAAGCAAGAAGGCTGTTTGTGTAGACTGTTACTTTTTCAGTTGAGGAAAGGAGGGGCGTTGACCCTGGTATTTGAGAGGTGTCACTGCCTTACTTGTGTATCAGGAAGCAGAGTGAGTACGTGGTTTTATTTCACCCTCATTGCCTAATTGTCTGTTATTTATTTTGTTTTATTGTTTTTGTTTTTTTCAAGTCAGGGTTTTTCTGTATAGCTTTGGAGCCTGTCCTGGAACTCACTTTGTAGAACAGACTGGCCTCAAACTCAGATATCGCCTGTCTCTGCCTCCCGAGTGCTGGGATTAAAGGTGTGTGCCACCACCAGCCGGCTTTGTTTTTTTTATATAAGTGACAAGGAAGGTATATTTGGCAGAGCACCCAGGAGACTTACTCATCAGATTTCACTTCCGAGTTGAATATGGCCTTTTATATAGTTCTTTTCCCTGAGAAAAGCCAGGTTGGAGGTATCCTCCCTATAGGAGGTCGTTATATATTCCCCAGAGCTGAGGAAGTTGAGCATTTATACCACATTTATACATAGTGAGGAATAGTGCTGGATTCCAGGCATAGGTAGCCCTCCCTTGTGGTTGCTGGGTACTTGAACTCAGGTCCTCATGCCAAACAAGCATTCTTACCCACTAAAACACTTTCTCAGCCCTATGTTGTTTTGACTTGTAATTTTTAGTACTTATATCACAGAGAATCAGTGAAGTTGGCTCAGTTGTGAAGAACAAGGTGCAGTCTGTTCCTGCACTGCTTAACTTCCCACAACTATTTCCCAAGCTTTTTGTGTCTCAATTTCTTCATTTATGTAATTAGAATAATAGTGATTGCTTCATACGGGGTAGTTGTGGCATTCAGTAAAGCATGTGCTGAAGATTTGGAATAACCTGACATAAAGTAAACTACATATATTATGTATAGCAGAAGGGAGCTTGTAATTGCAGTGATAACATTGTGTATTTTGATAATAGTCTATTGCCTTCTAATAATTTATGAAGGTACCAGTTTGTATTAATAAATTGAATTCACTGTAAAAATGTTTTTCTTGATTTGCATGAGCAAGAACTTGATTGTGAAAAAAATATAATCAACTATATTTCAAAAGGGTTTGAGATTTGGTGCTTTCTTTATTATAGGTATCTAATGTGTAGCCATGCGGAAGACCTAAGGGCAAAAGCTGAATGGGAAGGCAAGGGGACAGCTTCTCGGTCCAAACTGCTGGACAAGCTTCAGAGTAAGAGTTTTTGATGTTTATTTCCTTTTAGACTGGAAGTAGGTAATAAAGATCAAATAGGAAGTTTGTACTTAGACACACTTTCACTGAGTTTTTGTGGAAGAAGGAGTCCATTAAAAAGCCCTTTACACCAAAGAGTCTCACACTCACCAGATGGGACCTAGAGTCAGTGTAAGGTGCTGGACTCCGCATTTTCCTTATGTTTGTAATCTTTTTTTTAATATTTTTTTTTACAGTTTATTTAACTTTATTTTATGTGCATTGGTGTGAAGGTGTCAGATCCCCTGAAACTAGATTTACAGACAGTTGTGAGCTGCCATGTGGGTGCTGGGAATTGAATTCGGATCCTCTCAGAGAGCAGCCAGCACTCTCTCCAACCCCTTATGTTTGTTTTCTCTTTTTAAAATAACTTTTTAAAATCAGCTCCCCTATGTTTGAGTGCTTTGTTTCGTCTTACCTTGTTTCTGTGTAGCTTTGGAGCCTGCTCTGGCCTCGAGCCTGCTCTGGCCTCGAACTCTCTTAGATCCACCTGTCTCTTCCTCTCAAGTGCTGGGATTAAAGGCGTGCACCACCAATGCCTAGCATGTTTAGTGATGTTCTTTTTTTTTTTTTTTTTAAAGATTTATTTATTTACTATGTATACAACATTCTGCCTCCATGTATGCCCACATGCCAGAAGAGGGCACCAGATACCATTACAGATGGTTGTGAGCCACCATGTGGTCACTGGGAGTTGAACTCAGGACCTCTGGAAGAGCAGTCAGTGCTCTTAACCACTGAGCCATATCTCCAGCCCCTTTAGTGATGTTCTTAAGTTCTTTTCTTTGGATGAAAAGTACTAAGGATAGAGAAAAAAAAAAAGTGAACCACAGCTTCAAGTCCTACACATTTTACAATTTTTGTTCTTTAGGTAAATTGTTTTATGCTTCTCCCAGCTGTGTTAGCTTGCTTTCTAGTTTTTTGAGGGGATCATTTTTTACCATATCGTTATGTAAAATGCCTCTTTTCTATTCAAATTATACAGAGTAGAAATCTCAAGAATCAGAAAATACATACTCCATATACCTGGGAGAAATGTAAAGCATAAGAAAATTAGAATAAGTTTGTATGGATTCTATTCTCTGAATTACCATGGTACCTTTGGCATTAGTAGCCTCAGAGTTTTGACTTACTCTTTGTTAAGTGAAGATTTATCTCATCCTGAGATACATAATCATCTACTGACACATAATCATCATTGTATTTTCTGTCCCATCTCTTTTTACTTTTGTAGTGTGTTTTGTATGTGGTATTATTCCTCGCAGAAACTCCACCTACAGGATATAGCCCAATTACTCCTTTCTAGTGGTAATATCACTGTAGTTTTTGAAAATGTTCCTACAACTTCCCTTATGTCATGTCCCTGGAGCTTTTGTCTGTGTAGCAGAAACAGTAATACTGAGGTAAAAGGTGCAGCAGAAGAGAACTGAATGTCTTAAATAAAAGTTTACAGATTATTATTATTTTTATTTCTCTTTTTTTAAAATATCTTTTATTAAAGCCTATTTACCACCATCAGTGATGCTTCCCCCACGGCGTTTACAGACTCTTCTGCGGCAGGCGGTGGAGCTACAAAGGGATCGGTGCCTATATCACAATACCAAACTTGACAATAATCTAGATTCTGTGTCTCTACTTATAGATCATGTTTGTAGTAGGTAAGAGAAAAATTTCTTACATTTTCAAATGTTAGTGTATTACAGATGGAATTACGAACTTTATGCAAACATTTTCTAAGGTTTCTTTGTGTAGCTGTATAACAGTTCATATCTGATGTACTATTTATTCACAGTAAAACCCAGAACTACTAAAATTGAAACTTATTAGAAAAAAAATAGAAAATTAGCTTCTACCATGTAAGCCTATGTTTATGTTTATGTGGTAAGCCACAGTTGGACCTGAAGCCCAAAAGCCAATTTTAAATTTTCTTATCCGTGGGTTTGGTTAGTTATTTCCGGTGTTCAACATTTTAACTATGTACAAAGTTATTTTCTACATATATAAATCATTGAAATGCTTTTTTCTTAAGTTAAAGTTCTGCTTTTTGTAGAATGGCTTCAAAAATGGCTAGAATAATAGACATTAACTTTGTGTTTATGTTTACCAAACCATGCACATAATTGAAGTTGGAAGAATTCAAGCTTGTCTTTTGGTGTTGAGTGTACTTTTTAGTAAAAATTTCTCTTCTATTTTAATGATGCTCTCCAAAATTATAACTTTAAATTTAAAATACCAAGATAAAAATTGTGAACCCTTCCAAACTTGAGGAAAATGGTTTGGTTCTGATCAAACATTGAAAGCAGGCTGCTGTAGTGCACATAACTCCGTTCCTTCTGCTCACATTCATTGAAGAAGTAACAAAAAAATGTATTTCGGTGGGGAAAGACAGAGTGTATATGTTAATCAATAAGGAGCTTTTGAATAACCAGAAATACTATGCATACATGTAGATACTGCTTTAAAATAATATTCAGGAGTATTTATTATTTATTTATTTTAAAAATTTATATCTTATGTATGAGTGCTCTGCATGTACACTTGCATGCCAGCAGGGGGCATCAGATGCTATTGCAGATGGTTGTGAGCCACCACGTGGTTGTTGGGAATTGAACTCAGGACCTCTGAAAGAGCAGCCAGTGCTCTTACTGCCAAGCCATCTCTCCAGTCCCTTGAGGTGTGTTTAAACCAAGTGATTTACTTTGCTTTTTTTTTGTTTTTTTTTTTTTCTCTTTCATCAGTACTAGAAACAGAACATAGGTCTTTTCAAATGCTAGTCAAAAGTTCTACCACTGAGCCCTGTCCCCAGCCCTATAATTTGCCTGTGTGTAGTTGTGTCATCGCTGACTGCACTTGTCTGAGCTATTGGCCTTAGAAATGATGTTCTTGCTGAAGTACTGGATCGTGCTTTGGTGTGAGTTACTGTTGTGCTAGCGTAGGACGTGATAGTGATCCTTTTCCCTTAGCAAAGCTCACTCCTTGGCACTGTTCTTTGACTTCTTGGGGAGAACTTTTAGAGCTTTTTGTTTAAATTGGATGAGTGGGTGGGTAGGGGATAGATTAAAGACTATATAGTCTGTGCCTTGTTTTATAGCTCCTTTAGGTTGTTTAAAATTAAGTCACCTGTAGACCAAGGTCTCTTTGTAGCTCATAAACTTATTTCTGCTGAGGGAATGAAAGGTAACAAGTAGACCTGATAGTGCCAGAAGTGTCAGAAAATAAGAGCCTTTCCTTCATGCATGGAAACAGAAACCCATGACAGGAGGATTTTCCACCCCTGTATGCACCTTGGTTCCTGATGTCACTATTTGTAGACTAATATATGACAAATACTTAGTCCTTTTTCTGTCCTTCACCTTGGGTGGGGTGCTCATCAGACCATGTGTAAAGCACTGACATTTTACTAAAACTGAAACTCTTGCTTTTCAAAAGTGTTCCTTAGATCTTCTTTATGATTAAAAAAATTCACACACCTGGTACATGGACTTACTTTTGCAGGCAAAACACCCATACATATAACAATTTAAATTAAAAACAGCATTGTGCCTTCTGTTTACCACTTCCCTCCTTCAAGGGTAACTTCTCAAATCGTTCCCTGCTTGCTGTACAGTTCTTTGGTCTGTCCTTGTTTTTCTTCACCAAGTTCCTGTAGTGTCACTGCTGATGTTGGTGAGGATAGTCTGTCTGATTCAGCAGCTGCCTTCCAGGTTTTCTCAAGCTTTCTACAGTATTACAGCATTATAGCTTTCTATTAATATTCCAGGCTCTAGATTGATACTGTAACCCCTCCAAGGGCTCTTCTTCTCTGTCTGTCCCTTTAACAGTTTGTCCCAGGGTTGCCTCTTTCCTCATCTTCCTTCCATAGGTAATACTTCCACGAATCTAGGGTCTCCTGGAAATAGGCCAGAGCTACAGTTTTTCTCTCCTGAGCCTTAGATCTGAGTACAGTTTGGCTGTTGCTCTAGTTAAACACAGCAGATCCAAATAGATTTTACTCTGCCTCTTATTCAGGCCTGCTAAGTCTGGTTGTTTGTTTGTTTTTTGTTTTTGTTTTTTTTATATTTGAGTTCTATATTTTTGTCACATGTATGACATGTGTTTTCACATGTGTGTGGGTACACGCGTACATATGGATGCATCTGTGTGGAGGACCAAGGTTGATACTGGAAATCTTCCTCAGTTGTTCTTCCACTTTATTCTTTTAAGACAGGGTCTCTGGCTGAACCTGGAGCTCACCAATCCCAGCAAGTCTCTAGCCAGTTTGCTCCAGAGATTCCCCTGCCTCCACCTTCAGAGGCTGGAATTACAGGCGGGTTACCATGTCAACCTGGCATTTACATGGGGTTCGGGGCATCTGAACTTCCCATCCTCTTGCTTGCTTGCAAGAACTTCAGCTGCCAAGCCGTCTTCCCCTGCATTTTCTATCTCAGGGAGGATCTGCCTACCCAGTTCACCAAGCCGGAAACCAGGAGCCATCCCCAGCTGTTCATTCTAGAGGTAGATTTTAAGGAGACTAAGAGAGTAACACCAGGCATTAACTCAGTAAGTTGTCCCTTCATTGCCAGACTGGAAAGTAGAGCCTGAATTTAATTCCTTAAGTTTAGCTAGAGGTCTTCAAAAGAAAAGTTGATCATTTTTAACCATCTACTTTATTTTCTTCTAGAAACTACATTTTAGCATTAGAGTTAGAAATTTTTGAAATAAAATATGAACATACTATCCATTCTTTCCTCTCTGGAGAATAGAGAATTGATTATGAGTAACTGATTATGACTTTGAAAAACCCATGTAAACACGGAAGAGTTTTTATTAGATTGTACACAATTTTTTTATTAACTAGTTTGCACATATTTTCTGTTTAAATGTGACCAGTAAGGAACTTTTTTTAAAGAAAGTATTTTTCTGGACTTTTTCACACTGATAACTAATGGAAGTATGTTTTTATATGCTACTTTTATAAGTACAAATTTTTTAGTGCAGGATTTTTATAAAATATTTGTAGACACAAGTTAAAGATTGAATTTGGTCAAAATGCTACATTTACTGTTTTTTTTTCATACAGTACTGGTTTTTAATACCATTTAAAGTTTTGAATTTATTTGAAAGCAAGGCCATCAACCATCACTTATTTATCTGAAAAGGTTGTTAATAAATTTGCAGGTTACTGTAGCCTTTATTTTTAATTTTCTCTCTAGATTTTATTTTCTGTGTATGAGTGTTCTGCCTTTGTGCATTGTGTGTGTGCCTGCTGTCCACAGAGACTAAAGAGATGCCTGGCTCTCCTGGAGCTGGAGTTAGAGACAGCTGTGAGCTGCTATATGGGTGCTGGGAACCAAACTCAGACCTACAGGAGCAGCAAGTGCTCTTAACCACCGAGCCATCTCTCCAGCCCCCTTAGTCTTAGTAAAAGACTAAATGATAGCTGGGGGGTGGAGGCACACACCTTTAATCACAGCACTGGGGATGCAGAAGCAGGTGGATCTCTGAGTTCAAGGCCAGCTTGTTCTACAAGAGCTAGTTCCAGTACAGACTCCAAAGCTACACAAAGAAACTTTTATCTTTTTTTGTTTGTTTGTTTGTTTGTTTGTTTGTTTTTTGTTTGTTTTTTCCGAGACAGCGTTTCTCTGTAGCTTTGGAGCCTGTCCTGGCACTAGCTCTGTAGACCAGGCTGGCCTCGAACTCACAGAGATCCACCTGCCTCTGCCTCCCGAGTGCTGGGATTAAAGGCGTGCGCCACCACCGCCCGGCCTTTTTTGTTTTTGTTTTTTTTTTTTTGTTTAGAAACTTTTATCTTGGAGGGAGAGGGAAACAACACAGAAGATAAAATGATAATTTTAAATTGACTGACAGCTGTCAAGAGACTAAGTGACTTAATGCCCTGTAATTTTGAATCAGTTCTTACTTACAGGTTATTTGTTAATCTAAATGAATCTTTCTACTGTGATCAAATCAACTTTAGGCAAAAGAATTTTTATTACAATTTTATTAGTCTTTGAAAAAAATAGTGTTTAAAGTTGACATTGGGAAAGATAATTCAGTCAATTATAGGTTCAAAATTTATTTCAGCTAGTTTTGTGAAAATCTGGTAAGATAATGGCTTCTTGAGCCTTGTAAAAATGGGGGTGATAAAATTTCTCTTGTCAAATTAGTTTCAAGAATTAGTATTCTGGAGTAATGGCTCAGCAGTTAAGAGTAGTTGTTCTTGATGAGGACCCAGATTTGGTTCCCAGCACCTGCATGGTTAGCAGCTGTTTATAACTCCATTTCCAGGCTTCCAGCTCCCTCTTCTGGCTTGTGTGAATACACTGCACACAAGGTCCACAGACAAATGCAGGCAAAATACCCATATACATAAAAAATAGAAGACTGTCTTATAGAAAGTGTCACATGCAATACTTGGCACCTAGTAAAGTGCTTAATAAAATATAATTATGCATTATTTTCGTTCAGAGTAAAATAACAGTTTAATACTAAAGCAGTTCTTAGTTAAGTAATCTAAAAATTTAAAGTTGCCAAGTATTACCTGCTAAGGTTAATTGCCTGCCACCTGTCAGGCTGGCCAGTTGACAGTATTCTCTTCCTTGTGTGCATACTGGTGCACACTAGTTTTGTTTTCTGAGACAGGATCTTGCTGTGTTGCCCATGCTGGTCTCAAATTCTCGGACTCAGTCAGTCTTCCTGCTGGAGCTCCACAAGTGTTGGGACTGTAGGCTCATTTCACTCTGCTGGGCTCTGAGGACTGTGGTTGGGGAAAAATAGAGAAGTCTTTGGAAGATAAACTTAAAAAGAACTTTTGAAGATAAATTTAAAAGTACGACTTGAGCAAGATCATACCTGCCTGTTTATTAATCCAGTACTTGGAAGACTCGGGGCAGGAAGATGCAGAGTTTCAGGCAAGCCTGGGCTACAATAGTAAGAACCAGTGTCAAAATGGGTAGGAGGGCTGGAGAGATGGCCCAGTGGTTAAGAGAGCACTTGGTATTTTTGCAGAGATCCTGAGTTTGGTTCCTAGTACTCACATGGTGTATCGTAACTGTCTACCACCCTCTCTTGGCTGTCATGCTACATGAGGCGCACATATGGTGCACATGCACACGTGTAGGTAAAACGCTCGTGACACATTCTTTGCAGGAGTTGTTTTACTCCTTCCATCATCATGTTTGTCCCCGGAATTGAACTTAGGTCATCAGACTTGGCAGCAGGCACTTTCACCCATTGAGCCATCTTGCCAGTTCTCTATTTATTAATAAGTGTGTGCATGTGATTCACAGTGCATTTGTGGAGGCAGAGGGCAACTTCAGGAGTCAGTTCTCTGCGCTGTGTGGGTTCTAAAGATGGATTGTCTGCTGATCAACAAGCACTTTTACCCTGTGAGCTGTCTCACTGGCCCCATTTTCTTTACGTCATACCAAAGCTTTTAATAATAGCTTAACTGATTTATATGCTTAAAGATGCTACATTATTTCTTACTCCTTGTAGAACAACCAACTAATGCCATTTATCTATAAAGTGGTAAACATAATTCCTGAATAATAATTACTTATACGAATTGTCTTAATCAGACCTGGTAGCTTTCAGAAGGCAGCAAAAAAGTAAACTTTAGGTTGAAGTAGATTCTATATTACATATTTTAACTAAAGTTGACTTGAACAAAAAGTGCCTGATATCATAGTATTTCAGCATACCAAAATAAATTTGATTCTTGAGAATTGTAAATACATTCATTTATATTTTATACTTGAGAACTCCAAAAGGAGTTCTGCCTGTTGCTAAATGCCCTTCTCAATATTGCTGAAAATGCTGTGAAAGTGTAATTATGTGTGGATTTGTTTGTTTTAGGAGGCAATTCCCCTGTTACACTCAGCAGATACTCACGGAGCATTGTAATGAAGTGTGGTTCTGTAAATTCTCTAATGATGGCACTAAACTAGCAACAGGATCAAAGGACACCACAGTTATCATATGGCAAGTTGATCCGGTATGTATTCCTGTATGAGTTCTTAGACCGCAAAAAGGGGTACTTATTTGTTTACATTTATTTTATGTGTGTTGCCAGCGTAAGTGTGTGTGTATCACATGTGTGCCTCTCTTGCACAGGACTGGAGTGCTTCTGATACAGAGCTCTATAGTTGGTTGTGAGCCATGATATAGACGATAGCAGTCAAACCCAGATCATTTTACTTTTGCATCTTAACTCACTGGTCACTTGTTTGTTTTTGTTTTTCGGGACAGGGTTTCTCTGTAGCTCTGGCTGTCATGGAACTTGCTGTGTAGATAAACTACAGATCTGCCTACCTCTGCCTCCTGAGTACTAGGACTAAAGGTGTGTGCCACCACACCCAACCGCTTACCTATTTTTAATATACATATGTAGAAGTAGTTGACTTCAGCAAGTGCTTTTTTTTGGTTGTTTGTCACTTGATTTGTATTTATTTATTTACTTTTTTTTTTTTTTTTTTTTTTTTTTGGTTTTTTGAGACAGGGTTTCTCTGTAGCTTTTTGGTTCCTGTCCTGGAACTAGCTCTTCTAGACCAGGCTGGCCTCGAACTCACAGAGATCCTCCTGCCTCTGCCTCCTGCGTGCTCCGATCGCCACCACCGCCCGGCTTTATTTACTTATTTTTGGGGGCAAGTTTTTACTTAGTTTCCCAGGCTGGTGTGGAACTCTCCAGCCCCAGCCAGTATTCCTGAACACTAGGCAGATAGAGATGTATCATCATATCTGTCTATGTTGATCACTTTTTTCTATATATTTTTTTCTTTGTGTTTATATATATGTTTATGTTTATATTTATGTATATGTTCATATATATATGTTTGTAGGTTAATATTACCCTAGTTGTTCAAGGTTTATGCTAGAGATTGTGCTAAGTCATTGTGTATTCTTTCATCCTCTGAAAGACTCTGAGGTACTAAACTTCTTGTGTTGAGATGAGGAAACTGGGGTAGAAGTGTTAAAGTCCCCAGTATAATTTTCAGATCTCATGTGGAGTCTTAACCTGGTTTTCCCCAATGATAATATTTGAAAATTATTGTATATGGATTTTAAGAACTAAGTTTTCTCTAATCAGAAGTGTCTTTATCACTAGATAACCTACAGATATGTAGAAATAAGCATGTTCATTTCTTTTAACCAATTGAACATTTATCTACTAGTCAAAAAGCATGAATCCAAATAGGTTAAGGAACTACACTTGTTTTAGGAGCCATTCACCTAAGATCTAAAGTAAATAAAACTTGGTTTAGGACTAAAACGAGGCTTTTGCCTTTGGATAAATATATTGGCCCCAAATTTATTTTGAGTAAGACAACAACAGATTAGTCTTAGAAGCCAATATGATGGCTCAGCGGCTGAAGAAGGCATGTGCTTTGCCAGCCTGGAGACCTGATTTTGTTCCCTGGGACCTCCATAAGGTGGAAAGTAATGACTCCACAAAATTGTCCTGACATATGGGCCATGGCATGTCAGCCCACATACAAGTATCATGCACATACAACATGTAGCAAATAATTTAAAGGCACCATAGAAGGGAAAATACAAATTTGAGACAGGTACTTCTTGAATACCTTCCTGTGATATGTTGTAACTGGCGACAGGAAAGAACAGCATTCTTCACTATGAAGAATGAGGTTTTAGGGGCTGGAGAGATGGCTCAGCAGATAGGAGCACTGACTGATCTTCCAGAGGACCCAGATTCACTTCCCAGCACCCACATGGCAGCTCACAACTGTCTATCACTCCAGGATACAACATCCTCTCATAGACATACGTGTAGGCAAAAACCAATGCACACAAAATAAATAAATAATTTTCTTAAAAAAAAAAAGCTCTTACCTTTTTGTGCCGTAATACCTAGTTAGCAGTCTGACAGACTTACTGGTTATCTTAAAATAATACTGTTAAGTACACATAGTGGGACTCGGGTGTGTGTGTGACAAATATACACACACATATAATTCCATATATGATTTAATTATAAACTATGCACTAATTATTTAAGGAACCTAATTATATTGAAATGTGGGCTCTCCACCTAGAATAAAAAGGTATAATATATAATACTCCTTCATTAACCCTAAACAATTTTAGTGGCAGATGATTACCAGTATTCTGAATTACTAAACTTAAATAATATTGTAAGATATCTGCAACAATTTCAATATGAAATAAGAGTATTTGAAATTTCTCTATTGTTAATACTGAATTTACTGTTACCTAATATTTCTATGTATGTTGCATCAGATTAAATGCATTAGTGATAGATTAAGTCACAAATAGTTCATTGGCTTCTGTATTAGTCAGGGTTTCTATTTCTGTGAAGAGACACTGTGACTACAGCAACCCTTATAAAAGAAAACATTTAATTGGGGTGACTTACAGTTCACAGGTTTAGTTCATTACCATCGTGGGGGGGATATGGCAGCATGCAGACAGACATGGTGCCGGAAAAGTAGCTGCGAGTTCTACATCTTGATCAGTAGGCGGCAGCAGGAATCTCTATCCACACTGGGCATAGCTTGAGCGTAGGAGGCCTCCAAGCTCACCCCATAGTGACACACTACTCCAATAAGGCCACACCTCCTACCAGTGCCTTTCCCTTTGGGGACCATTTTCTTTCAGACCACTACCACAGCATCCATTAACGAAAAGAAATAATAAACACTTCTCTGGAGTAATTTAACCAACAATGAGCCCAGATTTGAATTCTCTGCCTATCTCTCCCCCCATCTGTCTGCTGTATGAGTCTGATCTGTTTGCTTTAATGCTGTTTTGTGACTCTGTCCCTAACAAAGGCATCACAGATATCAAAGGCTATCAAGCAATAATATCTGTATGCTGTAATCAACATCTATGGTGTAGATATTTATTTTATAAGGCCACTTTCATATTTTCAGCAAATGATTATCGTAGCATATGTCCACAGGTGTTACTTTGGGTCTGAGTATGGAAGAATACATAACTAAAAACTGCCACTTAAAATGTCAGCTTAGGGGGCTAGAGAGATGGCTCAGAGGTTAAGAGCATTGCCTGCTCTTCCAAAGGTCCTGAGTTCAATTTCCAGCAACCACATGGTGGCTCACAACCATCTGTAATGGGGTCTGGTGCCCTCTTCTGGCCTGCAGGCATACACACAGACAGAATATTGTGTACATAATAAATATTTAAAAAAAAAATGTCAGCTTAGGCTGTGAAAGTCGATTCCATGGCGAGGCCAGTAAGTTTGATTATTTACATGGCTCTCTGTCTCGTTGTTTTTGGAAGGGGTCTCTATGTAGTCTTGGCTGGCATCAAACTCAGCTCCACCTGCCTCTGCCTCAGGAACACTGGGATTAAACGATTTAGGCCACCGTGCCTGGTAACATTGTTCTCTTAAACACATGAGCTGAGTACACAGTAGAGCAGCAGTCTTCAATCATAAGTGACCTTTAATCATTTGTGTTCCAAGACCCTGCTTCTATCCATGGACCCTTTCTTGTAGATGTCAGGTTAAGAAGCCCATCAAAGGATTGTACAGGTTAGAAAGGACATTAAGATGCAATTAAATAATGTTACTATGTTTATTTTCAGTTGAAGTATGAGGACATAAAGGAACCTTATTAGCACTATGGTATAGCATACAAATGGGGACACAAGAAAGACATTATGGTAGAAAAGGAGTGTGACTTGACCCCTTCGTTAAATAAAATAGACATATTTTTAGTGATGGCAAAGAGTCACAAATTACACTAGAAAGAGTGTGGAATGTACACATGACCTTTGAATTTTGTGGGGTTTTGTTAAGTTTGTTAGGAGTTGTGGGTGAGATTCCCACTTTATTTTTAGCCAGTATAAAATGCCTATTGTGTGTTAATTTTTTTAATCTAGGCAACTAAGCATATGATAATAAACCCTGATGATTCTGTAACGGACGCTGTGGGAGCTCAGAAGAGATCTCGCTACATCTAGAAAGCTAAGGAAAGTAAGAAAAGAATTTAGGTGAAAGATCCAAGAACTGCTTAGGTGAAACTGATTCAGAATATCCTAAGGCCATCTGGGAGAAGAGTGGAAGTTCAGGAGGTGAACCAGTGAGGCAGATCTTCTGTATCTCTTGCTGGGGGGGTTAGACTTGATGTCAGTGTTTCCAGAATGGGTTTTCTTGAATACTGAGTGTGCAAAATATAATAGAGTTTTCTTTCTGTCTGTCTGTCTTTCTTATTTTCTTTCTTTCTTTCTTTTTTTTTTTATTTTTTTTGGTAAAAGGAATTTTTTTCTTGGCCCTATTAATTTAGGAATTCAGAATTAAGATTTAGATTCTAATCTGAAATGAGACTGGTGAACTCTTGACATAATGGTGCTTTCGTTATGTCAAATACTATTTAAGAAAAGTTGACTGCACTTTTTTCCCCCTCTTTGTCTTTCCTTCCTTCCTTCCTTAAGACAATAGTTTTATTTAAGCCCTATTTGTGTTACATAATTGGTCTTAAAAAAAAAAAAAAACCCTAGTCAGATATAGGAGTTAATGCTGAAGATCAGAGAAGCACAGTGACCAGCAACTAGAGAGTTCTTCTTTTACCTCTACAAATGGTCAGACCCAGGGGGAGGGGGTGATCCTGTCCTCAGACTGCTTCTCCAGACTGCATCCGTCTCCAGCAAATCTCCGACTGGACTGCACTCCTTCCCTTATTTCTCTCTGTCCATCACTCCTGTCTTCACCTCCCTAGTTCTGGGGTTAAAGACCTGTGATCCCAAGTGCTGGGATCACCTTTGTGTGAACTGTGTTTCTCTTTTAGACAGATTCAATCTTGTGTAACCCAGAGTGGCCCTGAACTAACAGATCTCCTGTCTCTGCCTCCTGAGTGCTGGGATCAAAGGGGTGCGCCACCACCTCCCGGCTTGAATATGTATTTTTTTTAATGCCCATTTTTGTTATTTGTTTTGTTTAAACTGGATTCCAGGGTGAATTAGAATTCATGATCATTCTGCTCTGCTTCCACAATGCTGGTATTAGTGTGTAGAAAAAAAGAATTTAAGATTTCGTTGCTGTTGTTTTTAATATATGAATATTTTGCCCAGTGTGTGTGTCTGTGCCCCTGGCACCTGTGGAGACCAGAAAAGGGCGTTGGGTCCCATGGAGCTAGAGTTAGATAGTTGTGAGTTGCCCTATTGGTGCTGGGAATCAAACAAAGTCTGTTGTGTGTTGTTTTACTCTCTTGTATTTTTGTGGGGCCCGCCACCCAGCTCCCAAATAAATCACACATGGAGGCTTATTCTTAGTTAGGCTTGTTAGTTTGGCTTGTTTCTTGCCAACTTTTCTTAACTTATCACAATTACCTTTTGCCTCTGGGCTTTTATCTTTCTTTCTGTATACCTTTCTTTCCTTCTTACTCTGTGACTGGCTAGGTGGGTGCCTGGCTCCAGATGTCCTCCTCTCCTTGTTCTCTTGTTGCTCCTCTCCTTTTATACTCTCTGCCTGCCAGCCCTGCCTATCCTTGCTTCTCCCTTGCTATTGGCCGTTCATCTCTTTATTATGACTGTCAGGTGTTTTAGATAGGCAAAGAATCACAGCTTCACAGTCACTCAAATGCAGCAGAAACAAAAGCAACACACCTTAAAATAATATTCCCTAACAGGAGTCCTGTGGAAGAGCAGTATCTTTATGATGTATGGAGTTCATTCTTATTGAGGTATATAAAATAATTGGGGTTTTTTTCCTCCCTCTTTTTTTTTTAAATATTTTATTTATTATGTACACAATATTCTGCCTGTGTGTATGCCTGCAGGCCAGAAGAAGGCATCAGACCCCATTACAGATGGTTGTGAGCCACCATGTGGTTGCTGGAAATTGAACTCAGGACCTTTGGAAGAGCAGGCAATGCTCTTAACATCTGAGCCATCTCCCCAGTCCCCCTTCCTCCCTCTTCTGTCTCTCTTTCCCCCACCCTCCTGTAGTTTTTTCGAGACAGGATCTTGCTGTATAGCCCAGCAGACCTTTTACTTATGGTCTTCTATATCTAAGCTCTCCAGTATGGAGAAAGCAGTCTTGCTCAGACAATCAGTTTTCTGGATAAGTATTTCTAACGGAATTTATTGTCAATTTAGAAGAAAATCTTTGTTTTCCTCTGGAGTATTGTTTTGTTAAAATTTTGTTCTCTGGCAATGTTAAGCTAGTCAAAAAAGATACAAAATTATGCAAGCCATTTTGACCTTTTATTGTTGATCTGATACAGGTACTCAACAAAGAGGTATCAGTAGTTGCATTGTTAATGTACTGTCATAAAAGGTTTTAGTCCTATGAATAAATAGCATAATAAACAAGCCATAGTTACGTTTCTGAAGCCAGGAGGTTTCAATTTTATCAGACTAGTTTAAGACCTGTTTATAGGTTCTTAGAGGTCATCGCTAGTGGACTTTATCTACCCCCAGGCTTAAATTTAGGCTCAAGGGGCTAGAGAGGCTACTCAGTATGTAAGAACACTTCCTGTTCTTCCAGAGGACCTCAGTTCTGCTCTCAGCCCTAATATCCAGGCTATTCCGGCCACTCCAAACTACACATAACTCCAGCTCCAGGGGACCTACTCTCTCAAGGCCTCTGCAGGAACATACCCAACCCCCTACACACATACAAACACATAAATAATAAGACTTTTTAAGTTATGCTCAGTACATCTCTAGTTGAATATCTAAAACATATTATTAGATTTTTGGTTTTTCAAGACAAGGTTTCTGTGTATAACAGCCCTGACTGTCCTGGAACTTGCTTTATAGACCAGACTGGCCCCAGACTCACAGAGATCCTCCTGCTTCTGCTCCCTGAGTGCTGGGATTAAAGGCGCGCACTCCCACTGCCTGGTAATTAGGTTTTTCAAAATTTCTCTGCTTTTCACTTAAACCAGAAATCTGGAGTTTGTCCTCTACCCCACCCCTAAGTGCTGGGGATTGGACCTAGTATACATGCTAGCTGGAATTTTAACTTGCATTTTTATCTCTAAAGTGTCTTTAGTTCTGATAGGTGGATTTTTTTGCTTGTTACATGTTTCTTGAGTCTTCCTTCTGATTCATCTTCAGCATTGTTGTTCCCATCTCTTGCTAAACTTAATATTTTATTAGATATTCCCTAGACTGGCTTGACATTTCCCTCTGGATAAACCAAATCATTAGCGTGAAGTACTATGTCACCTCTTCCAGTCTTGTCTCTTACATATTTGCACTATATAGTTCAGGCCTTGGAGCATAGTCCTTTGAGTCAGGAAGCCCAAATGAAAATTCTTCCCGTATAGATTTCATTTATTTATCGTGTATACAGTGTTCTGCCTGCATGTATTTTTCAGGCCAGAAGAGGGCACCAGATCTCATTACTGATGGTTGTGAATCACCATGTGGTTATTGGGAATTGAACTCAGAGCCTCTGGAAGAACAGCCAGTGCTCTTAACTGCTGAGCCATCTCTCCAGCCCCACAGACAGATTTTTTTAATGTTACTAAAACTTAGTTTGCTCCCTGGGATAGATCGTTCTTAATAATATTGTGTTGCTATCATATTATAAAAGACTTAATAAGCATTCAGTGAATATCCGTAAGTAGTATTGATATTGGTTTGTTAGTGGAAACATATTATGATACAGTCAGTTTTTAAAATAATATTAGACAGCAAATGGCCTAGGAATTCTTCTGCTATGTATATATTTAAGAGTAATATTAACATATCCACAGAAAAGCACATACATATTTTTAGTGGGCTTTTTGTTGTTTTGCTTTTATTTGTTTGTTTTGTTTGTTTGAGACAGAGTTTCTCTATGTAACAGTTCTAGCTGTCCTGGAACTCGCTTTGTAGACCAGATTGGCTCGAACTCACAGAGATCCACCTGCCTCTTCCTCCCAAGTGCTGGGATTAAAGGCATGTACCACCAGCACCTGTCTGCCGTTTTATTCTTAATATTCAAAAAGATAGAAACCAAATAGAGAAAATATATACTGTGTCATGCATGAAGCATAGAGACTTTGGAATGAATGAAATAAACCAACTACAAGAGGCTGTATTATATTTAATTTCATTTATATGGAATGCCCAGACTATACAAATCAGTAAAAATAAAGTAGTGGTTTCTGGGAACTGCAGGGAGAGAATTGATTACCAATAGATAGGGAATTTCTTTGGGGGGGGGTGATAAAAACATTACAGAATTAGAACCTTAGGCTATAAACTTTAAAGTTTATAACCTCTTACACGCTGTTCCACAAGTCTGTGGATTTACATCAACTGTTGAACTGTATAGCCTGAAAATGTTTATTCTGTGCTGTTATGTGTCTGTGAAGTTATTTGAGATAGCTTTGGTGTGCACATCTACTTTCAGTTTCTTTCAAGTTCCCTAAGGACAATTCCTGTGACAGTTTAATGTTTCTATCTAGTATATAATATGCTCTGTATAGTAGGTAATTAATCGGTGTAAACGAATCTCTATGAAGCAAGCTGCCTGAGCGTAGTTAATCCGTATTGACACAGAAACTTCACAGAATAAACAATACTATCAGTGTAGCTCTTTATACTTTAAATTCTTGTGCTAGCAAACGGTAGCTTTTAGTTAACTAAGTTGTCTTTTTTTTTCTTTTTTATAGGATACACACCTGCTAAAGCTGCTTAAAACATTAGAAGGACATGCATATGGTGTTTCTTATATTGCATGGAGTCCAGATGACAACTATCTTGTTGCTTGTGGACCAGATGACTGCTCTGAGCTTTGGCTTTGGAATGTACAAGTGAGCAAGTTCTATCCTTGGTTTAAGTCCAGCATAATCTTAACAGGCATTTGTTAAAACTTTATTCTTAGCCAGGCAGTGGTGGCACACAGCTTTAATCTCAGCACTTGGGAGGCAGGAGCAGGTGGATCTCTGAGATCAAGACAACGTGGTCAACAAAGCAAATTCCAGGGCAACCAGGGCTACACAGAGAAACTCTTTGTCTCAGAAAGGGGGAAGAAAAATAAAAAACAGTATTAGAAATTAAAAATATTTTTACAACAGAACCATTTAAGCTAAATTACTGTAACATGTCTCTTGTAAGTTATAGTGCTTCAAATGTTTAGAACTCAGCTGTTAAGATTTATAAATTTACTTGCTTTGTAGACAATGCTGGCCTTGAACTCACTGAGTGCTGGGACCAAAAAGGCGTGTACCACCATGCTCGGCTTTGCCCTAACTTTTGAAGAGAAATTTCAAATGTTGAAAATTTGAGAGGCTGAAGGGATAGCTCAGTGGTTAAGAGCACATACTGCTCTTTCAGGAGACCAGAGTTTGGTTCCCAGCACCAAAATCAAGCACCATATAAATACCTATAACTCCAGCTCTGGGAAATAAAAATCTTAAAAAAGAAAAAAAAAGAGAGAAATGGTGAAGCCAAACATAGTGTCTCAAACCTATAATCCTTCATCTATTAGGAGGCTAAGGCAGAAAATACCAAGGTAAGGTGAGTCCCGGGTGACCTATAGAGTGAGAATCAGAAAAGTTGAGAAATGGTATAGCTGCGTGTAATATTACTTGCCTGTAATCCTGTTATTTGAGAGAAAGGTAGGGGATTGAGAGTTCAAAGTCATCCTCAGCTACGTAGCAAGTTAGAGACCAGTATGTTTCCCAAAAGCAGAGAAAGGAAATGGTGGGTCATATATGCCCACCACCCTGGATATGGTAGTTGTTGTATGTTTGTGATATTTGTGTACACAATGAACATAAATACACAAACAGAAACACTTAAACATCAGAGCCAAAGTATTTGAATGTAAATTACAGACATGTTTAATTCTTAAATATTCAAGTATGTATCCTCAAAAATAACATGATATCCTTCATAACATTATTTTATGTGTGTAAATGTTTTGCTTGCATGAATGTATGTGCATTACTTGTGTGACTGGTGCCTGTGAGGTTGGAGAAGGCATCAGATTGATGTAGGGAATCACGATGAGGGTGCTAAGAATCAAATCCTGATCCTCTGGAAGAGCAATAAGCTCTCTCAACTGCTGAGCCATCTCTCCAGCCCTTACTTTTTATTTCATACCTAACGCACATCTCATTTTGTTCCAACAGTGTCTTTTATTATCAAGCTAGCGATTAACCACTGTTGTATTTGTAACTGGGTTTAGGAAAATGGCAAAGCATGGAATTAAATAGGAATAAAAGATAGATTAAAGTGAATCTGATCTAAAAGACTTTTTTCTTCTTTTTTTCTATTAAAGCTTTTTCTTCCTCCTAAGCATATACAACCTTACTAGAGACACAGTGACTAATACTTGTGTGGTCTTGAGTCAGATTTTAGTTCCTGGGTGTTAAATCATGTTTATGTTTAACTGCCATTATGCACTACTTGGTAAGTTGAGGCCTTTTCTAGTAGGGTTGTCTTTTAAGAAGTCCAAAAGCTATTTCTGTTGAAATTCAGATAGATTTCTAATCTAATGACCTCATACTCACAATTCTGTGCAAAATAGAAGAAAAACATTGCTGCTTCAGAACTTACTGTGGCAGGCGGATCTCTGTGAGTTCGAGACCAGCCTGGTCTACAGAGCTAGTTCCAGGACAGGCTCCAAAGCCACAGGGAAACCCTGTCTCGAAAAAAAAAAAAAAAAAAAAAACTTACTGTGTTAACATATTTGTTAAAAGTAAACACCCAATTTAAACTTTTAGCTGTACAGGTGAAGTGACTAAAACGGTAATTAAATAGCTGAGACTTAGTGAAGAGTTTGGGGAAGGATTTAGATGTTGAATTGTTTTTTTGTTCCTCACGTAAGGGAGACATCCAGCTTTCTATTTTGTGCCTCTTGTGCCTTTTTCACTTGGCCCCAGGTTCCTAATTATACCCTTTGTTTTCACTCTTTGATTTTTACTTTTGATTGCCCATTTCTCACAGGAAAATTATGCCCATGTACTTTTTTTATACCAAGGGCAGCTTTACCTCTCAGATCCTGTTTCTAATCCCTCAACAAAACGGAACAAGACTAGATTAAATGGTATGTGTCATGTCACCTAAGTTGAATAACTTAGAATGTGTAACAGGAGGATGGCTGAGGTTTCGGCACTAAACAAGCTTGATGAGTTGGAAGCACTGTAGAATCTATGCTGAACAGTACAGAGATTATTTCTGTGCTCTGCTTTTATTTTTTTTTAATATTTTTATGCTTTATTTAACTTTATTTTATGTGCATTGGTGTGAAGGTGTCAGATCCCCTGCAACTGGATCATCAGACAGTTGTGAGCTGCCATGTGGGTGCTGGGAATTGAACCCGGGTCCTCTGGAAGAGCAGTCACTGCTCCTAACCACTGAGCCATATCTCCAGCCCTGTGCTCTGCTTTTAATTGAAGTAAAATTACATATTAGAAAAAAGTTTTTTCCATTTTCCCTGCATTATTATGAGCATTTGAGTATGATATTTATCAAAATTATAATTGCCCTTTGTGGTTTTGAGGGCATAGTCTTACTACCTATTAATTGTGTTCTTAAAGAATTATTAATTGCATTAACTTTAGTTTTAAAATAAAATTCATAAAGAATTTTGGACTGAGAAGCTCAGAAGAATTAGCTTTGTGGCTTTGGGCTTTTCATTGTCCTGATTGTGGAAAATTACATGTTTAATTCTTTTTGGGGGGGGCCGTGGGGGGGTTCGAGACAGGGTTTCTCTGTAGCTTTGGTGCCGGTCCCAGAACCAGCTCTTGTAGACCAAGCTGGCTTGAACTCCCAGAGATCCGCCTGCCTCTGCTGGGATTAAAGGCGTGCGCCACTACCACCCGGCATGTTTAATTCTTTTAAGATTAAGAAGATTATTAAGATTAAGAAGATTATTAAAGCTTATTGCCTCTGAACTTTTAATTTTTATTTGAGTGTTGTAGTCTTATTTTTTGGTGAGGCCATTAAAAATAGCCGTCTTTCTGAATAGGACTGGTACCTTAGCAATATACCCAGTCACCTTCCGTTCTTCTGGCTCCCTTCTAAGAATCCTTAGAATCCCTTTCTTTTTCCTTCCTTTTCTTCCCCTCCTTTCCTTTCAAGTCTTCTTTCTTTGCATATACCCCTTAGAGAGACGTCTTGAGCATCTTATCCACAGTTTTATTTCCTTATAGACGGGAGAATTAAGAACAAAAATGAGCCAATCTCATGAAGACAGTTTGACCAGTGTAGCCTGGAATCCAGATGGGAAACGCTTTGTGACTGGAGGTCAGCGCGGGCAGTTCTATCAGTGTGTAAGTATTGAGTGCCTCCTCACCAGGGTATGCCTATTTTAAAAGTCAATTGAACTGTTTGCTTAATGATTTTTAAAATTTACAGTTGCTGGGCATGATGGGACATACTTTAAATTACATAGTAGAGGCAGGCAGATCTCTTAAGTTCTACAGGCTAGCCAAGGTTACATAGTAAGACCCATCTCAAAAAAAACAAAAACAAAAAGATTAAATAAAATGAAGGTTCACTTGACACATAGAATATGAAAACCTACTTACCATCCTCTTACGAGTATTTAGTAGAATTTTTATTACTTCTCTCTACTTTTAAAACCATTTCTGGTACTCATAAAAAGTGTAAAATTACCTGGGCATGCTGGCTGTTGTCCTAGCACTTGGGAGGCAGTGGCAGGTGGATCTCTTGAGTTTTTGGCCAACCAGGACTATATAGTGAGACTGTGTCACAGAAAAAAAAAAAAAATGTACTAATTTATAGGACTGAAAAATTCAGCAATTACTTTTGAGTGAGGTTAGGCCTTTGTAAGAAAAACGGTGCTAGCCAAGCATGGTATGGGAAGCTGAGGTGGGAATATTGTCAAGAATTAACAAGCGGATCTCTGTAAGTTCGAGACCAGCCTGGTCTACAAGAGCTAGTTCCAGGACAGGCTCCAAAGCCACAGAGAAACCCTGTCTCGAAAAACCAAAAAAAAAAAAAAAAAAAAAAAAGAATTAGCAAGTATCCTGGGAGCTGGGCAGTGGTGGCACACGCCTTTAATCCCAGCACTTGGGAGGCCAGACAGGTGTATCTCTGTGAGTTCAAGGCCAGCCTAGTCTGCAGAGCAAGTTTCAGGACAGGCTCCAACACTACATAGAAACTCTGTCTCGAAAAACCAAAAGAAAAATGAAAAATAAGTAGCCTGGGTTCTAGTGAGTTAGAGACCAGCCTGGACTGGAAAGTGAGACCACTGTCTCCAGAAACAGTTAACAGTGCTGTAGAGTTGAGGATGTAGCTCATCACAAACGGGGCATGGTGGCATACACTAATTGTGGCACTTGGGAGGTAGAAACTATAGGATCATAAGTCCAAGGTCCTCCTTGGCTTTGTGATCAGCCCTGGATATAGGAGACCCAGTGTGGAACAACAGCAAACCCACAAGAAGGTTGAATTTCATGAATCGCCCAAGCCGAAGTATCTGAGGAATAGAAGTAATCAGTGTTGCGGCTGAAGAGATGGATGGCTCAGCTGCTGAGCATGCAGTGCTCTTACAGGAGTCAAGTTGGGTTCCCAGCACCCATGTTGAGTGGTTCACAACCACTCTTGCTGCTGTCAGAGGATCCAATGCCCCCCTTTCTGGCTTCTGTGGGTAGCTATACACATTTGCACCTCACATAGACACACTTAATTTTAAAAAATAAACCCTTTTTTAAAAAAGTGATGGGTACTGACAATTTTTCAGTGATTTAAAGAATCTTATGGTCAATAGCTGCTGTGTTGATTGAGATTTTGATATCAGTTTTGAGTCTGGGTCACCATGTAGCCCTGGCTATCCAATCATTCCGAGTAGACCAGACTAACCCCAAACTCACAAAGTTCCTCCTACACATGCCTACAGATGCTGGGATTAAAGGCGTGTGCCACCACACCTGGCAATTGCAAATTATTTGATTAAATTAAGGTAAATGGCCCTATGACATACAAATGCAGTGTCCCTAAGCTTTGTCTAGGGCCCACATGTCACACCCACATGTCTCTTCTCATGGGGTCCTAGTAGATGTTTTCAGATCTTTTCCCCCAATGCATCACTTCAGTTGGGTGTTTATTTAGATAAACTGTCTGTAGTTGACCTCTACGGAATAAAACACATTTTACTAGGCTGTGGAGTAGGCTTCATTTCTTCTGGGTAGGTCATTTAAACTACTTTCAGGGCAGCTCACTGACAATTTAATACCTCCCTGGGTAGGTATTACAAACTGCCCCTTTTTAGTAAAATGAACCTTATGGAATTCATTGTGGTTTATTCTAATAGGTTATAAGCTATTCCTAGTTCTCTTTTTTTCATATCCCAGCTTTGTCAGAGTACAGTGTTTGCAGGTCTGTATGTAGTCAAACTCTCCTAAGTTAAAATACTTGTAGAGTAGTTTGACTAGATCAGCCTCAGACAAAAAAACAAGGCTATTTTCATAAGTCATTGTCAAGTATTTACATTTGGTTTGCTTTCTGAGTGGTGGTGTTTTTTTGTTTTGTTTCCCTGCTTAGGACCTGGATGGAAATCTGTTGGACTCCTGGGAGGGGGTGAGAGTGCAATGCCTGTGGTGCTTGAGTGACGGCAAGACTGTACTGGCTTCTGACACCCACCAGAGAATCCGGGGCTACAACTTTGAGGACCTTACAGATAGGAACATGTAACTATTATTTTGTTTCCAGTAGAAATGGTCTAATTTAGCAGGGTGCAGTGCTAGGCACACCTTTAATCCCGTCACTCAGGAGGCAGAGGCCAGCCAGTCTGTTGAGGTCAAGGCCAACCTGGTCAACAGAGCAAGTTTCCAGGATAGTCAGGGCTACACAGAGAAACCCTGTCTTGAACCTCCCCACCCTCGGAAAAAAAGCGGGAAGAATAGTCTAATTTATACGAAAATGTGTATATAGTTGGGATTTTGTTTATAGTTTTTATTGGTGATTTGAATGGTGTTATGGGGTACTTATTAACTCATTCTTATTGACACGTATGTAAGACAAAAGTGTCATTTAAGCTAAAATAGTTTATAGTCTCATAATTTGAAGTTCTTGACTCTTCATTTGCTTTTCCTGAAAAATTATTTCTGATTACAGAGTACAAGAAGATCATCCTATTATGTCATTTACTATTTCAAAAAATGGCCGATTAGCTTTGTTAAATGTAGCAACTCAGGTATGGTTTTTTTTGTATTTTTTTTTTCTACAACTTTCAGAAAAATTTAACTTAGTGAAAATGTGCTTTTGTTGTTTTTAGTCTAGCTGGTAATGTATGTGTTTAATGCTTAAATATGTAGGAATAAGCTATAAGTTTATTGAAATAATAGCATTTTGCACAAATAGAAAATAAAAAGGTTCCAGTGGGCAAAGGAATATTCACAAATTATTGTTAAAGAGTCTAGTCTATTGAGGCTGGGTGTAGAGCCCGCACCATTAATCCCAGCGCTCAGAAAGCAGAATAGAATAGTCAATCTCTGAATTTAAGAGTGCTTCCAAGCCATTGGACTAGCTCAGTGTTTCTTACCTATGGGTCAAGACCCTTTGGGGGTTGAATGATCCTTCACAAGGGTCACTTATTAGATATCCTGCATATCAGATATTTATATTGCGATTCATAACAGTAACAAAATTACAGTTATGAAGTAGCAATGAAAATAATTTTATGGTTAGGGTCACCACAACATAAGGCACTATATTAGAAGACCCTAGGCTAGATTGTCTGCCTTTTAATAAATAAAACAAAAAAAAAACTACTAAGCTTCATGATATCATACATGTCTGAACTCCTAAAAATAAAAACTTGAGGGTGGGATATAGTGGGGAATACTTTTTGTCCTAGCGTACAGGAGGCAGAGCAGGCAGATCTCTGAATTTGAGGCCAGCCTGGTTTACAGAGCAAGTTCTAGGACAGCCAGAGCTACACAGAGGAACCTGGTCTCAAAAACAAAAAAGCACAGCGTACAAACCTAGGAGGATCTATCAGCTCCAGGCTGCCCTAGAGTATTTGGTGGGATTGTCTTTTTAAAAAAATAAACAAATAAATAAATATAAATAAATAAAGTCACAGACCGGAGGCAGAACTAGCCCTATTTTAAAAAAAAAAAAAGCAACAAAAACTTCTTTTTTTCTTTCTTTTTCCCTGCAGGGAGTTCATTTATGGGACTTGCAAGACAGAGTTTTAGTAAGGAAATACCAAGGTGTTACCCAAGGGTTTTATACAATCCATTCATGTTTTGGAGGCCATAATGAAGACTTCATCGCTAGTGGCAGTGAAGGTAAGGTTGGTGTCGCTGTTCGCTTACTGCGTAGGTGAATTTAATGTCTGTGGTTCTCCCAGTTTATCAGCAGGTGTCAGAAGATTAAGGTTTTTAGTAGATTATCGACTATATTCTTAATGTTACCTTTTGGGGAATGGCTTGAATCCTTGATGTTTTGGTTTGGTTTTGATTGTTCATTTTCCCTTATGTTGCTGGTGATGGAACCCAGGGCCTTAAGCTGCTAGTGTTCTGTGCCTGTTACAGATTAGTGGAACCTGTCCTAATCACATTTTAGACATGCATTTGATGTTTGAATCAAGTCAAAATTTACTTAAATCATTATACCTTTATAATAATTGGTTTTCAAAGGTCGGAAAAGTCAGGCTTGCTGGTCATAGCGGCACACGCCTTTAACCCTTGCACTCAAGAGAGATGGAGGCAGAAAGAAACAAGTGGATTTCTGTGAGTTTGAGGCCAGCCAAGTCTACATAGTGAGTTTCAGGACAGCCAGGACAATACAGAGAGATCCTGTCTCCAAAAACCACAAGTTGGTTATTATGATTTACCTATATTTCAACAGAATAATTATTTCTATCAAGGCAATGGAAAATAATAATGATTTCTTTTTAAAAGATAATATGTGTGTCTGAGCAACACATTTATGCTGATAGTTGTTATGGTTTCAGAAAAACTCAAATTACAATTTTATTTCTAGTAAACTTGGTTTGTAGATGACAAATACCTGTGTTTTAGATAAACATGTGCCTGAACAGCAAAGTAGAGAGATTAGTTTTCCATTATTTCAGATTACTTCAGTTACTGTCTCTACAGTGTGGGAGAAGCAGAGTACCCACCTCCTAGCATGAGGAAGATTTCATTACACACATAAAGTACTTTGTAAGCTCCCAATAAAGGTTTTCCTCTAATGGTTGCAGTTTTCCAGTTTGGATATCTCGTTTCTCTGTTACCTCCACAGAGTACATCATCATCTCTATTCTGGGCTGGTTTATGCTCACATACCTTATTTGTATCTGGAGTTGTTTTGTTAACAAATGTCATGTATAGGTCTGGACAGTTGGGAGGTTGGGAGCCACCTTACACGGGTGCTTGGGAACTGAACTCTAGTCCTCTCTACAAGAGCAGCAAGCATTAACTGCTGAGCCATCTTGCTCCAGGTTGTGATTAGCAATAGTCACAAATGAACAGACTACTGCAAGTAGCTATTTTTGTGGCTTCAGAGCTAGGTACCTTGAATAGGAAGAAAAAAATTATAATGTATTAACATGGCTTTTCACAGAAGTTATTAAACTATTTTATTTTTTCCTCCCTTTAAGATATAATATTGTAGAATCATGTTGTGTGTGTGGTAAATGGTAATTCTGTTGATGACGTGGCTCTCTAACACTTCTCTGAATTGCTCTACATTTAGATCACAAGGTTTACATCTGGCACAAACGAAGTGAACTGCCAATTGCAGAACTGACAGGGCACACGCGCACAGTTAATTGTGTTAGCTGGAACCCACAGATTCCATCTATGATGGCCAGTGCATCAGATGATGGCACTGTTAGAATATGGGGACCAGCACCTTTTCTAGACCACCAGAATATTGAAGGTAAGGCACACACAGTCCTTGTGTTCTCCAAATACTGCTCTGAGTGACAGTACTTTTAAATAGTAGCTTAAATGTAGAATATGACTTTTTTTTTATTTCACCTTCTCACTTTATAAAAAGAATTTGAAAAATCTAAGTAAGTTTTATTTGTTTTTGGCTAGACAACGAAGAAAGTAAGCTACAATGTACTTCCTCGTTTGCATCAAGTTAGCTGTAGTATACTTTAGAATTTGGGGGGTTAAGAGATGGGAACATGCTAAGTGTTAGCCCCATAAGTGTGGGGACTTAAGTTTGGATCCCCAAACCCATGTAATGCTGGTGTATAGTAGTGTGAGTCTATAATCCCTTTGCTTTTATGGAACATGGTAGGTGGACACATAGGAGAATCGCCAGAAGCTGCTAGGCCAGCTAGGCAGACATGTACAGCAGAGAACAAGGGAGATTGTTTCTCGGTGGAAGGCAAGGACTGACACCCAAGGTTGTCCTCTGACATCCACACATCTTGCACCTGCAGGTATACACTTGCATGCACATACAGATTTTATTAAAGTGATGTTTCATCTTACTGTGTAAATGTGATATTATATGAAATGTTTTATGTACTTGAACTAAACAATTATAAATTCTGAGAAACTTTCATTTTATTGATCATCATTTTTGGGTTTTACTAATATGTTAGCACCGTATAGCATACTAACATTAACTATGTCTTATGGCGAAGGAAAGAAGGAACTAAAATTTCTGTGCTGCCCATGTGCCAAGTAGCATGTTCAGTGTATATTTGCTGTCTGTGTGTTCATGGTCTTGTAAGAGGAACATTTTTACTTTCATTTTATAGGGAAGGAACCAAAATATGGCAGATCTCGTTAATTTGTTGAATGCTGCATTTTGGCAAGTCTAGGTCTGGAAGGTTTTTCCCACCACCTTGATACTTGATGAAGAAAGCCATAAAGCTAACAGATGAGGATCAATTCTTGATGAAATATAATAATACCAGAGAGAATAAGATATTTTATGTAAATGTCCTTTTTTCACTCAAAGAGAACAAGTGAACTGTCTCATTTAGAGGGAAACACTTAGAGATTGTTTTGTTCAGTATGTTCCACCAAATGGTTGTTATTGTTTTGTTTTTCTCATGTGTGTGCCTGTGCTGTGTGCCCATGCTACCTGATGTGCATGTTGAACAGAATGACAGTCCTCTGCAAGAGCAACAAATGCTTTTAACTGCTAAAGCCATCTAGCTCTTCCAACCTCCCACCTAAACGATTTAGGAAGAAAAACATTTAACAGTTTCAACTGATGATTTTCATTGGAGGGAAGTTAGCTTTTTTTATTTTTTTTTTTTTTAATGACAGATGAAGTCAGCGCACGCCTTTAATCCCAGCACTTGGGAGGCGGCAGAGGCAGACAGGCCTCTTAAGTTTGAGTGATGCTAGCTGGTCTACAGAACAAATTATGATCTTTGGACATCTGCATCTGCAGTTATCTGTACTTCTGTATTTTATTAGTCAGTCAGAATGTGATTGGAAGAAATAGGACAGGAGTTGTCTACACAGCAGCTTCATCTCATAAGCAGTGCTGGCAGCACAGTGGGATAAGAGTTGCACTTTGTACTTTGTGACTTCAGTGGGTGTGCCAGATACTGGCTCAGTTCCCAGATCAGGACCAATTCAGCGATCTTCATTATGCTACACCACATAGGTCTGACCCTACAGATATGGTCATTCTCATTTCAAATAAAAGAAGTACTTTTTGAGAATATCCCTTGTGGTCTTTTTCCACATACAAACGAAACATTTTTCTATACCTTTTTAGAATAGGAATTTGGAAGTATAAGTGGCTTAAAAAATAACATTCAAAGAATGTAGTCTAAGGTTATATGTCATTTAAATACTAACTCAAAACCATATATCTATGATATAAAAAGTTTGTACGTTTGTTGGGTACAGGAAGGTGGTGGGTACACGTCTATGTTGAATCAGTGGGACTGCTTTCTGGAATTGGTATCCTTCCCCGAGATGGGTTCTGTTGATTGAGCTCAGGTCTTCAAGTTTACCAGCAAGAGCTTTTACCTGTGGTGCCATCTTATTTGTTTTTAAATTTGTCTTTATGTGTTACGGATTTTTTGCCTGAATGTGAATCTGAACCACATGTGTGGTGCCCACAGAGGCCAGAAGAGGCTGTCTGATTCCCCAGGACTGGAGTTAGAAACTTTTAAAATCCCATTGTGTGTGTTGTGGGAATCGAACCAGGGCCCTCTGAAAGGACGGACATTGTTTTTTACCTCCTGGCTTAATTTCTAATCTTTTGTGAGGAGTTACAAGATTGATTGCCTTAGTTACTTTCTGGGTTTTGTTTGTGTGGAGGGTGTATAAAATGAAATAGGATGAAATATTTATACATGCTATATAAGGTACATGAACCTTGAAAATGTATAGTAAATGAAACACACCAGAAACAAAAACATACAGACACACAATATGCTGTGATTGCATTTTATATTGAAGTGGTTTAAAAATAGGCCAATCCACAGAGACTAGAGGAATATTTGGGGTTTTTTGTTTGTTGTTTTGTTTTAGATGGGGATTTGTGTCATTGCTACAAGATGGTAAAGTTGGTCTAAAATTGTGTACTTCTGTTTTATAAGTTATCAATATATTAAAACTAGCCAGGCGATGGTGGTGCACGCCTTTAATCCCAGCACTCGGGAGGCAGAGGCAGGTGGATCTCTGTGAGTTCGAGACCAGCCTGGTCTACAGAGCTAGTTCCAAGACAGGAACCAAAGCCACAGCGAAACCCTGTCTCGAAAAACCTAAATATATATATATATTTAATATAAACTATTAAGTACTTAAATGAGTATATTGTTATGGTATGTGAACTCTATCTTAATACAGGTCATATATACACTACTCCCAAATGGAGCTGGGTGATGCCAGAGACCTCAGGCTTTAGCAGCTAAAGGGATTGAATACATAGAGTGTGCAGCTCTGCCTTGTATTATCAGTTTTCTTTCATTGTTCTTGTTGTAAACTAGCAAAATTTTCTTATCCCAATTATCTATTTCAAGGTTAATTTTAAAAATAGGGAATTCTGCCCACGCCTTTAATCCCAGCACTCAGGAGGCAGAGGCAGGTGATCTCTTGAGCTCAAGGCCAGCCTGATCTACAAAGTGAGTTCCAGAACAGCCAGGGCTGTTACATAGAGAAATCCTGTCTTAAGAAAAGAAAAAAAAAATAAAATAAAATAAATTAATAAATGAAATAAGGAATCCTGTCAGGCATGGTCATGCACACCTTTAATCTGGAGGCAAAGGCAGGTAGAACTCAAAGTTCAAAGCCAGCTAAAGCTACACAGTGAGATTGTCAAAAAGTAGCATAAAATTATAAAATTCTAATATTATGTTCATCCCTTTTCTGTATTATTTCAAATAAGCATGAGGTTACATTATAAGATATAACCTAAAACCTGAGGGAGATACATTAAGGACTACGAAAATATCAAGAATTTTTATGTATGTTATTTATTCTGCTGTTTATATACTAATGCAGATTTTGAAACTTTCTAACTGGTATCTTTTTTTTTCTTTTTCTCTCTGCACGTTTTCATCTTGTCTTCATTCAGAGGAATGCAGTAGCATGGATAGTTGATGGCGAATTGGAGCAGACGACTTCTGTTTAACTTAAAATTAGTCGTATTTTAATGGCTTGGGATTTGGTGCAAACAAACATGATTGATAGCTGGACAGACATGCTCGTCATGAAAAAAAGAACCATTTCTGAAGCCCGATTGGGGCCAAACATTTACACCTTGCTTCATAGTAACCAGTTGATGAAGCACGTCGTTAGAACGTTGTTGGACACCATGTTGAATTATTCCCCATCGGTTGTGAAGAACTGTGCTACATTCAGGCTTACCCATTGAACTCAGTATATATATATTTTTCCCTCCTGCCTTTTGTCTGGTGGGATACCATTCTTGTTGCTCTTCTGTGTAATGAAGTTCAAATGCTCGTTTGGAAACTTTATTTAACAGTTTAGAAGGCTTGATAGGAAGAGTTCATTAGTCTGAAGAGTATACATTGGACAGGAAAGAACTTCCTTTTGTTTCTTCAAATCTTTCCGCCTTATTTAGCTTGAGATCTTTGCAGCTTGGTTCATGGATTCTAGCCTTGCCCGTTGCGCAGTATATACTGATCAGATGATAAACAGTGAACTATGTCAAAAGCACTCTCAATATTACATTTGACAAAAAGTTTTGTACTTTTCACATAGCTTGTTGCCCCGTAAAAGGGTTAACAGCACAATTTTTTAAAAATAAATTAAGAAGTATTTATAGGATTAAAGTGACTTCATTTGTATACATTTGGAATCTAAACCAGCTTAAAAAGAGTTTCTTCTGTGACTCAGATATGCAGTGTGGCTGATGCTCTTCTGGAGTACCACCTGAGATGGTCAGAGACTGCTCAGAAGGACATGGCACAGGAGAGCAGAGAGATACTTGGAAGGTTCCCCCCTTTTATTTTGTTCCCGAAGGGACATCAGTACCTGATGTTGAAGAAATTCAAGATTCAAAAGGAGAATTTTATAAATACACCAACATAAAAATCAGCCATCAGTCTAGGTTTTCAAGAAAGCTTGTTCCATGTTCTTCTGGTCTTGGTGTGATCTAGTAAAAGTAGAGATCAGAAGATAGGCTACTTTGGGAATTTATAGTGTAGTTGAGACTTAGAAGAATTCAGCAGGTTACAAACATAAATAAACTGGGATTAAAACCTCAGTCATTTCTTCTAGTTGCCCTTAATGCCCAACATATAGGGACACTGGAATTTAAAGAAGATTCCTTCTCAGCTTTTCAGATGTTGCCATACTGAACCTCATTCAAACTGGTGCTGTGGACAGTCTTTCCCTCTCCTCCCCCTTGTAGTTTAAGGGACGGTTTCCTTATGGGAACAAAGACTACTCATTTTGAAGACTACATCCAACGTCTGATGTTCACGGTGTTTTTGAACCCACAGCCACTGGCTCTAACAGTCTCCCTTGAAATGCCCTGTTGTCAGTAGAGGATAATAAGGGTGACCACAGCTATTATTAGGAGAAGTGGAATCACTCCCAAAGTAAGATCCTGGTGAAGAAAAAACATCTTGTACCAAGTTGCCCTTGAGGCTGAGCCAAATCTATGGCATTCTCATCATGATCATACCCTTCATAGCCCTAAGAGGAGAGAGGCTTGGATGGTAGAGGTCATGAGGGGTGGTAGCAGGGAGGAGAAAGTCAGGAAAAGGGAGAAGAAAACACATTTGGCCTTAAAATAGTGTTCATTCTCCCAAAGCCCACAGTAAGGAAATGGCAGATCGTAGTCGGCGACTATTTTATCAAATTGATGTGTAAAAAGGTTTCTTTAAACTTCATTTTGCAGAGACCACCACTTTAGAAAATCAGAGAAATCCTGTTTTGATACTTCCAAGTTAAAATAGTATGTTACCCTTTATCTGGTACTTCATTTCCTGACTGAAGTTACTTTTTACTTTAAGCTTGAATAAAAACTTTGATTTGTTAATGTATATAATTAAGTGGCAACTCCTCTTTACCTCAGTGCAGTTAAAACCGTATTTTGATTGATATACCCTGAAGCCATTAATACATACACCCCAGTCTCTACAGTAACAATCACTAACAAAATGTGGCAAACAACTCCACAGCTGTTTACAAATGTGGTTACATCGTCCTACATGGTACTTTCGGAATATTCCCTGAGATCTGTGCCCACTCAGATTCTATACCAAGCCACACCTAGATCTATCTGTCTTGAGTTCTCACAGTACTTCTGAAGTACAGTTCAAAACACCTAGAAGTAAAAACGTGGACTGAAAGGGAGGGACATTTTACAAGACCATAACTCCTGTTAAAGTGGAGTTGCAACTATGCAAAGGTGTTCATAGCAGCTAGGTGAATTTGGTTGCCAGGTCTGCCCTAACTGGCAGTTTCCTATATATACTGGTACTTCACTGTGCCAATTTGCTGTAAGCATCTGCTTCCTATGTTTACCCTGAAGTGAACATGTGAGAAAGATGGTGAAGAAACCTTAGCTTTTATGATGGAAGAACCTAGTGGCAGGATTTTTCTAACCCTTAGCTATTAACTGAAATTTTCTGACAATGTGATAAACAACACAAAGGCTTAAGAGGGAACATTCTGTCACAAGATACTAACCAATGTATAAACTGAAAAGTACCAATACTTTTTGCACATAGATCAAAATAGTGGAGAATTTTGGCTCCAAAAATCAGGTTAGTAGGCTCAATTCCATGTGCTTAAAAATGTTTTTGTTGTTGTTAATGCATTGATTAAGGGCTAGAGCAAGAATGAAATTAAATGTCTTTTTCCTCTAAATAACTGGTTTTTAGTGGTGAAGTGTTGGATTTGGGAATCACTGAGGTTGGTGTGTGGGTGGAGAGCAAATGAATTAAGAGTGGGAGTTGGGAGATGACAGCTTCAGACTCGAGTTTCTATTTTCTTAGTATTCATGCCAGCTGTGTTTCATTGCTCTTGCTGGCCAGATAGTCTAGTAATCCAGGTAAGTAGTTGAAGACAGGAAATTTTGTTTACAATGTCCCCATATATTGGCCCAATTTATTGGGTGGGAGAACAAAAAAGGAATTCTCTAACTATAAGTAATTAAAATAACCTGTTAAATAAACCAAGAGCAATTTTATCACTATTTCCTTAGTCTGAGAAAATGCAAACAGTAATTCTGCAAGGTCAGTCAGTGGTTAGGAGTGCTCTGCCTCAACTGGCATTCTGTGGCATTAATAGAAAATTCTTCTTCCCCACCCCTCCCCACCTTGAAATCTTTTTTAGGACATTGGTTCCTGCAAACAAGAACTGACCCTCTGCCTCCCATTGGGTAAATGTATATCGCACATCTCTTGAAAGGGAACATATCCATGTCATTTACTTTACGGCAGAAGAATGGGGAGGAAAGAAGATAATCTGTCTTAATATCCTTTGTGTCCCAGTTTTCAAATATATATATATTAGTAATTTTACTTTAATGACTCAGACTTCAGCAAATCTCCCTTTGTTTGCTGGCCAAAGCATTCCCTCCATTTTCGAAACCATAACTGATTTCACTTAAACTGCTAACTTACACTTCGACACTTTCTAAAAACAGGGTGAATTTAATCTAAACTTTGCAGTGTTGAGCTGTTGTTACAGTAGCTGCTCTAGAATTGAAAAAAAACAAGCTGTATAAACCCATCCCCTATCTATTTAATCCAGACAGCCTGGGTTAATGAGATTAATCGTATAAAATTTTGTGTGTTTGAGAAAGAACTTGATTCATAAAATATCCTAGAAACAACTAGGTTGTAAAGTGCGCTCTTTAAGACTTGGTTAATACTTGTCTATTTTTATAAGAATGAAATTGTGTCCCATCTTTGGCTTAGACATTTACGTTATCAGGATCAATATGCAAAAATTAATCATAACATTCTTAGGCTCCGAGGGGGGAATGTTAATTGGTCCCTTGAAAGTAAAAGAGCGAGAGTGTGTGTGGGTGTGTGGGTGACGTGTTGAGGGGAGGAGATCACAGAAGCATGTAGTGCTTACAAACCAAGCTGTAGAGATCACATGAAGAACTCAGTGTTGCTCTGGAGATTTCTGAGCTATGGAGAGTGATGTGGCATTGTGTGATGTAGCTCACACAGCTGTTGGTGTGGACTAACAGTTACTATGAACTGACAGATGTTTCCAGAGGATTGTGTTCTTAAACTTTGGGGTTTGCTTTTTTAACTGCCTCTCAGATTATATTTAGTAGTTTAAATTTCTTTATTATTTCATTAAAGTATAAAAACTTCAGGTCTCATATTTATTTTCACTTGTTCTACTAATTATTTACAAAACACCTTTTGGTTGACATTTATTTTATAAATGTGTGGTATATTAAATGTCTTTAAATTTTTTTGTTTGGTTGAAATTACAGTAACTTAGATTTGGTTTATTGGGATTTTTAAATTTTATTTTAATTACACCTTTTCCATGTCAGTGCACAGCACTTGCCCAGTCCTTTGTATTCCCTTCTCTCAATTCAATAAACAGAATGAATAATTGATTCTTGTTGTATTAGTTTGCTGAACTGGTAGCCATATCTTGACTAGAGTTTGTGAGTGGAGCATAAGGAAACAATTGTTAGTGTTCTTGAAGAAGGCCATTATGCAGCTAGTCATAGGTAAGGTTAGATCCCAGAACCTGTACTTAGAAAAGCCATTGAGATAGCTCAGCAGGGCTTTTTCCAAGCCTGGTGACCTGAGTTACTAAGGACGCACATGAAGACAGCCAACTCCTGCAACAATATGTGCCCGCCTCCCTCCCACCCCCAGAAATAAATAAGAGGAGAAAATCTGTTTGTGTGTGCATGTATGGTACTGATAAACTGCTAATATACCCAGTGCTTGGTGTATTCCAGCCCCTAGAATAAGCCCAGGTCTGTGAGGAGATGGTAATTCCCAGCTTACAGATGAGGGTTTAACTGAGAACTAGTTCAGAGCTCACGCTTTCAGTCATGCCATAGTCGCCCTTTAGTCTGCAGGTGGCCACTTTGGAAAAAATCAATTTGTTAGTGTCATTAAAATTAAATGACATAAGATTTCAGGAGTTATCTATATAATTAAATACTTCAGTTTTCTAGAGTCTCCAGTCAAGTTACTTAGTATGTTAAAGCTGTGTCACTAATCTTAGAAGGGAACTAATAGTATCCCACCAGACATTGAACCAAGAATTGGGAAAAAAAAATGTTTTTGAAGAGTGATTTAAGACTTCAAGGTCATCCTAGTAGTCTTCATAGCAAGTTCTAGGCTGGAGAGATGGTTCAGAGGTTAGAACACTGGCTGCTCTTCCAGAAGATCCAGGTTCAAATTCTCAGCACTCACATGGCAGCTCACAAGTGTCTGTAACTCCAGTCCTTTTGACTTCTGCAGTGAAATGAAAGGCTTATAGACATTCTCCAAATGTATAGACCTTGTTTAGATGCCTATGTTAACAAGCCAACTACAGAACTTTTGAGCCCTCATGAGTTATTTAATATAAAGAAATGGTAAACAGTCTAACTCTAGAAGAAAAAGCAAGAGGTTTGTGGATTTGAACCTGCCTGAGCTACATAAGGCTCTCCCTCCTCCCCATGATAGTTTATATAGAGTGTATTGGCACTATATTTGTGTATGCTTTAAGATTCTAAATCTAAAGTGATCTTGAACTTGCTTCAGAGCGTGGTAGGCAGGAAGGAGGTAGGTTATCAGTACAATGCACTGGTTATTACAACTGGTAGAAAATATCACCTAAGAAACCTGGGGTCATCTATAGCGGCTGGAGATGGAGCTTGGTGATTTCAGTACTTGCCTACAAGTGTTTGTGAAGTCAATCTCAGTTCCCAGCACTAAAACATTCTGAAGGCAATAGCTCAGCAGATAAAAGCACTTCCTTTATAAGCCTGACTTCAGTCCTCAGCACTCACATAAGAAACCGGATATGGTGGTGTGGATCTGTAATCTTGGGAAGACTGGGAAGCAGAGACAATAATCATCCGGAAGGTAGCAGGCCAGCTATCCTGGAGTATGCTGTGCGGTGGCACAGAGAGACAACTCCATTTCAACAAGATGGATGGTGAGAACTGATCCAGAGTTGTCCATTGACATCCATATCCCTTTGCCCCAGAAAAAGAATATGCAGATTTGCTAGAGGACTTGCCTTGTTCCACAGATCTCTGTTGTCTGTCATAGCCCTCAATTAAATAAGGTTCAGTCCAGTCTGTGGAATAAGCAGGCCCAGAGGTAGATCAGATCCAGAGATTTCAAGGAACTTCTCGCAGTTGGATCCATGTTCTTTCCTCAGAATGAGCAGTGTGAAGCTAGCTTTGGGAATGGACAAAACGCCTTTGTTCAAGTGCCAACCACAAGTAAATGGTTAGGGGGTAATGGATGTAAGGTGAGGTCAAGTCCCCTCAGTTGACAACACAGATCCCAGGGAGTGGGCTGTGTGGAAGAGATGTCAGGAGAGTCATGGAATAGTAGCTCAATCTTACATACCAGTCCTGGGGTGTATAGCTCAGTGGTAGAATACTTACTTACCTTACATGTGCAAGGCCCTGGGTTCATTGCCTACCAATGCAGAAACAAAAACTTAACCTTCCAATCTGATAGAGGAACCTAAGGTTGGAGAGATGGTTAGTGGTTGAGAGCACTGACTGCTCTCCCAGAGGACCTGGGTTCAATTTCCAGCACTCACACCTGTCTGTAACTCCAGTTCCGGGGAATCTAACACCATACCAGATGCACATAAAATAAAGTTAAAGAAAACAGGAACTTAGCATATTTGAGCAGTGTAGCTTAAGCAGGCCTTGAAGCAGTGCTGCCTCCGCCTCTGGAGTGCTGAGATTACAGGTGTCCACCTCCTCCACTAGCTTTTAAATCAGCACACATTTTGACTAGGTTCTAATATTTAGTGGAAACTGATACATAAGTGGGACCCAAGATACAAAAATGGCATTTTAACAGATATGGCAGAGATT